GAACAGGCAGAGTAGCCTTTTCATCGAATCTGGCTCCCTTCACCTTGAATTCAGCGAGCGTTGTGTTCTTGTATTTGCCATCTCCATGCAGCTTTAGGAAGTGTTCCTTTAGTTTTGCCGGTGCTAGACTAGAATTGCTCAACTTGGCATTGCAAATCATGCATTGAGGACGCTGACTCCCATCACGTTCCTTTATACACGTGAATCCATATTGTACGTATTCGTCCAACCACTTTCTTTTTTTGCTCGACATAGTTAGTATGAAGGGATTGAAAGATTAAAAGAAAATCACAAATGACGTACAATCACAACAGCCACAAGTCGACTACTGAGCGCACCAAGTTCCTGATCACGCAACGTGGCGTCGTGATCAGCTGCAGCCAATGATGGCCAAGCGGAGCGTGACGTCACAAATAATACAAGTCGGCTGAATGTATTTTGTGTAACACATTTTTTACTAAGCAACTAAATATTTGTAATCTAACACGGCGAAGAAAAATTGTGTGTTGCCAATTTTTTGACGGCCGACAAAAACGGCCCGACATTGCTAGTGCGAACCGGGCTGCTATACTGTGTGTGTGTCTTGACCCCTGCCAAACCCCGGAGAGTGACTCAGCGAACCCCTGGGGTTCGATCGAACCTAGCTTAAGAACCACTGGCCTAGGGGTTAATTACGCGCGCGCCCTCCCCCCCACTCGCGCGTCCGAACCACGCGGATTACGTAATATTGTTTAGATCGCCGCTCGCAGCTGTTCGGGATTAATTAATTATTTCTCTAAGCCGTCGTGTCAACAAGCGGCCGGCGCTCGGAATCAATTAATTAATCTCTGCGCAATACGCTCGCGGCGCGGGCGAACGTTCATATATTTAATTATTTATATGTGTGCGCGCGTCATACACACACTGATTGGAGTCACCCACACACAGCAGTGCGCCGATCGCTGTCCCACCGCTCTTTACCCCTCTTCACACACACACACAACGCGTCAACCAACAATCTGGTACCGAGGTTTTATTTCCGGCGTGAATAGCGAACCCTTGCTTTTGGCCCCCTCAACCAGCACCCTTCGGACAGCGCCTAACCTCTTATCACGTCCCCTTCGCAGAGTGCGACTATCCCTGAGCTAGAGCTGACTGCGAACTGGGCCGAATCGGCCACCCGTGCTTACTCACCTTTCCAGCTGCACGATGGGAGTTGGGGAAGATGCTCGCCTCGGAGACTTTGCCTGGGCAATCGTTTTCAGCTGCACCCTGCACGCGTCCCACGGACGCTGAGGGCGGCCGGTATTCTCCACCACTCCAGAAGAACTCTGATCCCAATTTGCCCTCCTTCCCCCCTTATGTTCTCAAAGCCCGTTAATCCCCGGGTGACATGATGTCATCCTGCGCGTCCAATCGAATCCTTTTTTGCAGCCGTTTTGAGCGCTCTGGCCGTTGGGGGGGGGGGGGTCACGTCATCCCACCCCCCCCCTCGTTCCATTGTCTCTGTACCTGCGTTCCCCATCGCTGACTCACCGTTAATCCCCTCGGTCCCTCTCTCTTAATCCTCCTCTATGCCTAGGGGCTTTTTCCCTCCCACCCCACTGTTCACACTGCCGCAGGGTGCTCGCCTTGGGGTACCATCCCCCGTGCTGTTTGCTTCATCGGGGCCGACCTGTAAAGCTCTATGCCCCCTTTTAGGGGGGGCCGCCATGTAATCCGGTCTGGGGGGCTCAGCAAATCTCCTGGTCCAGGGAAACCGTGGAACGTCCCTGCTAGTGGGGTCCTCGGGTGAAAACCCATCGTACCAGGCGATCCCTCCTCGAGACCCTACGGGGGTGCATGTGAGTGTTTAGTGGGGCGTGCGTTCGTTGGGGGGGGGGGGGGGGGGTGCGAGGAGAGGGTAGCGCCGGCCGAATTGCTCCGCTGCGGTGGCACCACACATTACATTTCTAAGTTGACTAAGTTTGTGTTCTCAAACTTCCAATTTCTCTCCCCCTAATGTGAAGCTCTTTAGAATTGAAAATCGCTGGGCTCTGGTGGCTCTGCTGCACGTGGCTTATAACTCAGCACCGTGGAGACAGCAGCGAGGGTTGGTGAATCACACAGACGTCGTGAAACTCCCTTGCCGTGGGCGTCGAGGCGCCATACAGTACGGTGGACTTTCCCCATTGCTTTTGTACGGGATAGAGTGTTTCCCCCTCGCACGCATGGGTTTTCTCCGGGCGCCCCAGTTTCATCCCACATGGTAACAGTCATTAATTGGCTGGTAACACCTTAATATATAGATGACTATAGAGCTTGGGCAATATTGTTGGCAGCACCGGCTGCTCACCGCGTGTCTGCTGCTCTGCTACCTTTCCGATCATCCGAGGTTCAGCCCCTGCCTCAGGCGCCACGTCTCTTAAGAGGACCGGGTGCTCACCTCCCACGTGCCCCCCTCTCACGTGCCCCCCCACGGGGATCAAAGCCCCACCCACACTCATGAACCTGGCTCTGCTGCGTCCAGCTCTTCTGGCCGTGCCCTTCACCGGGAACGCAGCGGTGGGTGCCTCTTAAACCGTTACACGGAATCATTAAAGTCCCCGAGGACTCCGCGCCGTATTCTTGCGCCGATGCGGTGCCCCTCTATTCTCGCCACTGATGACAGCAGGAGCAGCAGCAGCAAGATGTTCCGAAACTCAATGACAATGTCGAGGTCTGCTGCTGCTGGCCGCGAAGAGAGGGGTTCTCAGTTGAGAGTTCCTGTCGTTTTCCTGCTCCTCCTCTGTTGAATGAGCGCAGACCACAGTGCTTTACCGTGTGGTCCACGGTTTGGCTTGCGAGTCCGCAGTCGCGCTCCTGTGTCCCTCTGGATACCGAAGCAGCCACCCCCCCCCGCCACTCACGGAGCCTCCAGGACACGGGGGATGAGCCGCGAATGCGCTCGTTAATCCGCACGCCGACGCGGCCTATGACGCGGTCACCCCGGGGGCGCGACTCGGCCCCGCAGATACGCCACTCTTCAGCCCTCGTTTGCCCGACCATACTTCACCACGCGGATCAGTGCGGATTGGGGGTGGGGGGCACAGGCGAGTACAATGGAATTCGCTGTATTGAACAGCGTTACAGCCCCACAGACGACAACAGCCGTAGCGCTTGGTGGTTGCCCATCGGAGCACGGTGCGGGCTCAAGCCCTGCTGGGGGGGGGGGTCCCGAGCTCTGACGCGACTTGGGGGGCATTCCGGGTGGTTTGGTTGTTGGCGCTCGTCATAAACCAGTGGAGGCAAGGCGCACGGGACACTTTCAGACGTGAACACCATCGATTTGGCCGCGTGGCCCACAAGGAATTGTCCAACGCCGATTGAAATGTCTGCACGATTCGTATTTTATTAAATTCTGCGTATATATGTATATCTGTAAAAATAACACGTTCATTTAGAATGTTGCATTGCCATTGTCGCACGAGAGTTCGGACATCCGCATTCGGGTTCGTGGGGGTTTTCGCGAACGAGCGAGGGGTGTTCGGGCTTCATCCGAGTGACTTCAGAGTTCGAGGCAGACAAAGGCGGCATGGAGATTCTTAATGACTCCTGTGTGCACCTGTGGCCACGGACTCCAAACCACGGACCCTCTAACTTCGCACTGCCCCAAATATACACGTAAAGGCTGGATGGCTGGTTGGATCTGAAATTCACCAACTTTCAAAGCAACTGCACAGCTAAATCATTAACTGATATATCTTGCATAGTTGCTGTTCATTGGGCACACGAAAAAAAAAATCAGTGATGATCGAGACTCTTGACTCGGCACCAAAGAAATAGTGGTTGTTGAACCTTAACGACTCCAACGCTGAGAGCCAGACGAAGGCCATCGTAAGGAATGTTAACATTCAGGACCAATTCCCGAGGCTGCTCAAGGAGCCACACGAACTCAGCACCGCGCCGAGTTGGATTTTTTCCATCAAACGCGGAGAGTGGCAAATTCACGTGCGGCTTGGAGTCCCAGAGGGGCGCGGACTCGGAGGGTTTCCTGGCAAACCGCGTGGAACACGGCTCCGTCACTGTCTGGACTTGAGCCTCGATCGTTCGTTCAGACCGGGGCCCAGCGGCAGCGCGCTCGCCGTGTCTTGCCAAGGCTCGCGCTTCGCATTCCGCGCCCGCCTCAATTAATACTGCGGTGTAACAACCGTGATAATACTGCGCGCCGTCACCTTCACAGTGGACGTTAAAGATCCCATGACGCCGTCAGCAAGAGTCGGCCACTCTGTGCCAGCGCCAGGGCACGCATTTGTAAAATAACAGCGCAAATGACTCGACTGGATTACACAGAGCAAATGATCGCTCCCTACAGCGAGAATTTGGCAGCACCCTCTTTCGAGAAAGTCATGACACTCAGCGAGGTTTTCCTGGACAAACCAGCGGAATAATATCCTTCATGGTGGAGTGGTCAGCGCACTGCGTTATGAACCTTGCAACCTGAGTTTGAATGTTTAACACGTAGGCTTCCGCGACCAATATTATTAATAATAAAGGTTTTTGGGTTAGATCGCGTTATTTATAAATGTGTCGTAACCCTCCACCACCCGACACGGCCGTTGCTGTTCATTGGGCACACATTATTTAATAATACGCTTGGAAGCGTATTAGTAAATACATATTGCAATTCCTTATAGGGGAAACACATGCTAATTAACGGATCACTAACGTAGCATATAATCACAATAACACACATTACAACTAATTACTAATCTACAACTCATTACTAATCATAACCATTGACTGATTAGCAATCGATTATATAATTACAATACCCCCCCTCCGCCTCAAATTACTGCACCTGAATGAGTTAAATGATGACGTCACCCTGCTGCTCTATTTAAGACCGGGAGCAAGTGAGGACTTTACCATTCTGGCGAATTGCCCGATGATGCTGGATGTAATTACCAGCGAAACGTCGTACTACTCAAACTGTAAATGTTGTGGATTCACTCAACACACCGGTGGGCTAAAGTAGTGAACTATTTGTCTTTTGTCAACGTGACACTTTTTTGCTGATTGGCCGTGTCGGGTGGTGGAGGGTTATGACACATTTATAAATAACGCGATCTGAGTTTGAATCCTGGTTCGCGTTAACTTAAGTGGCGTAAGTTTACACAGTCCTCCTGACCTGCACACCTTCACCAAACCGAGCACGGAATGCTCTGTGCTCGGGATTTCAGCACCCCCCCCTCGGCCTCATGTCTTTGGCGGCTGCCCAAGCTCAGGCACTGAACCAGAACCACCGGAGTCACGGGTTTAAGCCTCAAACAGCCCCTAACAGTACAGCCAGGTTATGCGTAATCGCAGTTGACTTTTAAATCCCGTGGCAACTTCAATGGATAGCTGGGGCGACGCGGATTTGCGGCAGTCAGCACATTGCGCGGAATTATTGCGGATTGGACACGAAGGAGTAATGTGAAATTGAACTCTTTACACAGGAAAACCTCTCTGCGAGTCTCCAGAACTCAACAGAGCTCGGCCGTTGAAATTTTCAGCTCCGATAGTTTCCCAGCATTCTCTCTCGTTGTTGTTGTTGTTGTTGTTCTCCGTGAGGAAGCTGGAACGTGCGGACAAAGCACTCACGTACACGAGAACATTCAAACTCGGCCCCCCGGACAGCCTCGTCAGACAACCTACTTTCTGCACTGCCTCCTTCAGGCAGCGGCAGCTGGGGTCTCGCGCAGCACCGTCGACGCGGCTCCAGCGTCGCGTTACCTCCCCGAGTGGTGATCGTGGCTCGATTGCCGATGTCGCGAGGTTTCGGGGAGGAGGGTGCAGTCGCCCGAGGCGACGTCGTGCGGCCTACGCCGCCACTTGACTCGACAGCTGGAAACGCTGCGACTGCGGCCGCGTGCCGAGCTCCGCGCGTCCCGCGGGACTCAACCCCTCGCTGCCGCCCAACGCCCGTGCTTTCTCCCTTCATAATATAATCATTAAATCGCGTACAAACGAATCAAGTGGCACATGCCAAGTAATCTAATCACAAATAGAAACGTGGAGCAATCGTGCAAGTTTCAGGAACCTGCCTTGGCAATTGGATTTACACCAACGCATTAATGCCATGCGTTTACCCCAACATAGAACTGCAAATGCAGGACTACCATGCCCTTGTGATCCACCAATCCCTGCCAGCAAGTGGTGGCACAATTCAATCATAGCGCGGGCCGCCACCACCACCGTGACAGTAGTCACAAGCACCATCACGACATCAGAGAACAACCACGCACCAGCACGCATATCTTGGTACTGGCTACGAAAATCGAAGTTTTAAGTTCACATTATCATCGTCACTACCACGGCCACGGCCAGAGATTTATAAACATTCCCGTGGTGGTGGGGGTCCCTGGAACCGGAAGCTCTTCACACAGGGCCCCCTACATTCATAATAAAAAAATATTCAATGTATTCTCCATGGTAAATACAATGCCAATTATCGGGACCCAAGCGGGGGGGGCGGACGCCCCTATCAGCCCCACGCCTCTTGGATCCGCTGCTGGCCACCACCATCACCACCGCTATCACCACGAGGCTTCAGCTTGGCAGTCCTCCCTGTTCAGGCTGGAGGGCTCGGGTTGGGGGGCCTGGGCTGGGGGGCCCTGGCCGGCTGCACGCGAGGCGAGGGGGGCGCAGGGGAATGACGAACACGGAGACGTCGTCCGGGGATCCCTGGGGCCGCGTGGCCAAACGCACGAGAGCCACAGCCGCCCTCGTGAACCTGCACACACACACGCACGTACACGCATACACACGCACGTACACACATACACACGCACGTACATACAAAAGTACATGCACACACGTACACCACTAACCCACACACACCACTAGCCCACACACACACCACTAGCCCACACACACACCACTAGCCCACACACACACCACTAGCCCACACACACACCACTAGCACACACACACACCACTAGCCCACACACACACACACCACTAGCCCACACACACACCACTAGTACACACACACCACTAGCCCACACACACACACCACTAGTACACACACACCACTAGCCCACACACACACACCACTAGCACACACCACACCACTAGCCCACACACACACCACTAGCCCACACACACACCACTAGCCCACACACACACCACTAGCCCACACACACCACTAGCCCACACACACACCACTAGTACACACACACACACTAGCCCACACACACACCACTAGCCCACACACACCACTAGCACACACGCCATTAGCCTACACACACACACCACTAGTCCACACACACACCACTAGCCCACACACACACCACTAGCCCACACACACCACTAGCCCACACACACACCACTAGCCCACACACCACTAGTATACACACACCACTAGCCCACACACACACCACTAGTATACACACACACCACTAGCCCACACACACACACCACTAGTATACACACACACCACTAGCCCACACACACACCACTAGCCCACACACACACCACTAGTACACACACACACCACTAGTACACACACACACCACTAGCCCACACACACACCACTAGCCCACACACACACCACTAGCCCACACACACACACCACTAGCCCACACACACACCACTAGCCCACACACACACCACTAGCCCACACACACACCACTAGCCCACACACACACCACTAGCCCACACACACACCACTAGCCCACACACTCACCACTAGTCCACACACACACCACTAGCCCACACACACACCACTAGCCCACACACACACCACTAGCCCACACACACACCACTAGCCCACACACACACCACTAGCCCACACACACACCACTAGTACACACACACACCACTAGCCCACAAACACACCACTAGTACACACACACTCACCACTAGCCCACACACACACCACTAGCCCACACACACACCACTAGTACACACACACCACTAGCCCACACACACACCACTATCCCACACACTCACCACTAGCCCACACACACACCACTAGCCCACACACACACCACTAGCCCACACACACACCACTAGCCCACACACACACCATTAGCCCACACACACACATCATTAGCCCACACACAGACGCGTGGGTGAGCACGTGCGGGCACCGTGCTGACCTGCCGGGGTCGTGCGGCCGCGACGCCTTGAGCACGGAGCGGACGTGTGACGCCACCTCGTCCACGCCGAGCACGTCCCACAGCCCGTCCGTGCCCATCACCAGCACCTCGTCGTCGTCCTCCTCATCTCCGGGGCCACCCTGCCACAGCTTGTGCACCATCACCTGCAGGCGCGGAGCAGCGGCGACCACGTCTCAATCCCACCGCTTCATCTCGCCTCCTGCTCCATCCCCCCCTCCTTCAAACCGTCGGAGGGTCCTCGCTTCGATGCTTTTAGGAATTATTCACTATTGTTCTGGCCAAACCTTCCTGTGGAGCCTCCGTAGAGCCGTGCATGCAAGTTTTCCTCCTTTAAAAGCAGTGCATAGTACTGCATGGTTCAATGTACGAATACTGTACCAATGTTTTATTCTGATAGAGCAGCGTCATTCATGCAAACCGCAGATCAAAACGGAGCCGCAGGAAGCCACAGACGAGACGTCGGAAGGTAGCCAGAACCGTCACCAACGATTACCCAATTTCTGTGGTCCTAAATTGGGATGTTTTGCCGACCCCACGAATGAGTGTTTATATAATGTAGTGCATGGTGATGCTACATGGCAGTGTGTAGTAGTGCATGGTTGGTGATCCAGCATGGCAGTATAGGCTGCTGCGCTACCGTACAGCATCACCATGCTGTGTGGTAGCACAGCAGGGTGGTGTAGGCTGCTGTGCTCTGGTGGAAGCCGTGCCTCCGGAGTGCTGCTCAGGAAGGGTTTGATGCAGATGTCCGTGTCGTGCACCATGAGGTCGTGGTTCCCAAAGCCCCGCGTCACGCCGATCGTGCTGAATAGCCGAGCCTGAACACAGCACACGCACCGGCGGTGTCAAGATTGGCCTCCGTGGAGGAGGAAGCTCGTGAAGGATGCTACTGGCGGTTGGAGGAAGTCGCCCTCCAACAAGAGCGGAGGGCAGAGGAGCGAGGCTCACAATAACGAGCGGAGCGCCGGGCGGCTGAAGCGCAGCTCGGTGGCGCAGTGGGGAGCACAGCTGGTGTGTCTGCCAGTCGTCTCAGTCGACCCATGGGCACCTGAGTATGCCCCGTGACCTCCTGCCAGAGAGCTTTAGCCACTTTACGTGGCCTCAACGTGCACCTGGCCTGGCACAAGCACTGCGGCGAACGGCGGCTGCTGTTTCTGTGCGTATAGATGTCATTACTTGTTGGCTGTGTATGCGTCAATCAACACTCTGGACAGCCTTGGGATGCTCTATCTAAAGGGATGGCCCTCCCAGTTGCTGTATATATAGGCCTTTTTCCAAAAATTTATATTAAAAATAATTGTGCCATTTTTTTTATTATAATAATCGATAAAATAAAAAAATAGATCACCCTCAAACCCGCTACCTCCCACAAGCACCAAGCAGCTGGAGGTCGTAAAAGGCCATTAAATAATAAACTCCGGGGCAAAGCAAGGTTAGCGACTATCTGCAAAATCTCCAGATTTCCAAAGGACAATTCACAAACAAATATCCAGAATCACAGGCACAGACACAAGCGCAGGGCAAACGGACATTATAACTGATACATATATTTTTTTTGTATGGAAAAAGTTGAAGCTTGGCTATAAGAATAAGTCGACATTATAGACTGCAGTATTCCTTATATTATTTCTTATTGTATCTTTCTATCTACGTGACTTTACCAAGAGAACCAAAGTACAAGAGTTCCTGCAATCACGAAAACTTCCAAACTAAGCCTCGGGATATCTCTGACCTCGGGAATATAAAGCACGGATCCCTGGATGCAGACAGGGAGCAAAAGTTAATAAAACCCTTGAACTACCGGAAGTAACATCTAATGGTACATTACAAATCTTGGTTAAACATAAACCAAATAATAATAACAAGAGATTATAACTGGGGCAATTCATTAGAGGTACAAGAAAATAGGTCAACCACACAAGACCAGATAATATGTATTCCATGAAATCTGAGCCTCCCCGGCCGCCTTTGTCTTCCAACAACTTGACACAAACACATGGTAGCCATAAAATACGCATGAAGGCAGAGTGCCTCCCCTCCCTAATAGGAGAAACCACGAAGAGAGGGGTTGGGAATGCAAACAAACAAAATGTGATGGTAAAACAGTCAAAGGTCAAAGGTCAAAAAGGGGGGGGGGGCAGCCAGGCCACTGCTGCCGCGGAAGGAGGACGGTGACAGAGGGCATCTGTTGTTGTTTTTCTCTCTCGCAAGAGACGCGGAGAGAGGAGAGAGAATTTCACATTTAAGCTCGACAAGGGAGCTCGACAAGAGAGCTCGGCAAGGGACAGCTCGACACAGCAGCTCGGAAGAGGACAGCAAGCCAGCGCCGGGGCATGGCCTCGAGACAGTAGCAATGGGTGCTGTGTCTCGCAGAGAAGAGGGGCGAGGTGATGTTAGGTGCCGAGTTCGGCATGGACCGACAGAGTATCGCCGAAAGTTTATTCTACATTCATCCTGATGTTTTGAGTCGCTTGCGGAATCGAGGATTGCGATAAGCTGTATCGTACTAAGCTATCAGAGTTGTGTGAGAGGTGTGCAAATACAATTTTCAAGTTTTGAGAGTGAGTGATCCAGCCAGCGACGAGCAGCTCACAGCAAGAGCCCTCCTGGAAGAAGGGTGAAGAGCTGCACACGCAATCGAGCGTCGCCAGAGAGAGAGAGACGGAGCAAGAGAGAGAGCGCGCAGCAGCGCCACCAGCGCCACCGAGCAAGGGTGACAGCTGCCAGCGGACGAGCGTTGTGCCGACTCGGCTCATCCAGCAGGGGAAAGAGCCTGACCAGCAGCCCGTGAGCAAGAGTTTCGGCGCCAGCGAGCGCGCCGTGGGTTCGACCCACACGCACGCCGACCAGCAGCAGCTGGGAACCAAGACAAGAGTAAGGAACTGCAGCCAGCGGACGAGCTGCGGGCGCTATCTGACGACGAATCATCGCGCGACGACGGCGAGCGTCGTGCCGACTGTTCCAGCCAGCTGTGGACAGAAACTGTGGCCGCCCCCGAGCAAGAGAGAGAACAAAGCCGTTTGTATGACCCTCCCCCACACTCACACCGTCACGACGCATCGCCTGGCGTCTGCTTTACGCAAAGAATTGAACGAGTGGCAAAGAAGACACACAACATGCATATCGGGACAAATAAGATTGTTCGAAAAAGTTATCTTTGTGGTTCAGGAAGGGTTGCCATTCCAAGGTGGTGCGTTAAATATCAACTGATCGTGAAGAACATTGCTGCCCATTGAGTTACGTGGATACGGTCATTTAGAAGTATTTTAGTCGTTCGTTTTTTTTCTTTTTAATTGCATAATCTTACCAATTAATTCATTGATAACTACTCTTGCCTTCGGAACATGTTTCGTTATTGCCCTTCGTATGAATATCGTTGCATGAATTTTTTATGACTTTTCCTCTCGCCGTGTATGCTCGCATACTCTGAGGAATAATCGATTGTACTGTTACCCAGTTAACAAACGTGACCATTGAGGGTTAAACGTATGGATCAATGAGGGGAACATCTCCAGGAGTACTGTGCTGACAATTCCCAACATAAGAGTTTGCATATTAGTGTTAAGGTTTTGTTTAGAAATTAAAATTGCTTAACAGAGGTGTTTTAGTGTTTCTTTCTTAAGTTCACGCGTAATAATCTTCATTATAAGAACTGCATCCTGCGGTGAGATTTGAATTTGGAGACCTGTTAAAGCGAGAATAATTGTATTATACCGATTGATAATACAACCCTAGACAACGAAGCTGAGCTTAATCTAGCATACTTACAGCACACCTGCATAACTTCATACAATTAATTGTATTATCCCGATTGATAATACTACCCTCGTCAGCGAGGCGGGGCCTAATTATCATAATGATGTGCATTAGCATAATCGCATACATTCACATAAATTAATACTATTATATATCTAATTATGCACACAATTACATAATTAACATAATATCGGATAATTACGCATTTTTTAAAAAATTGCATTTAAATTGTATTATTTTCACCACATTTTCAATACCCAGCATAAACAACACAGTGGCGAGCAACCGATGACTTTACCGAAAGAACCAAAGAGTATGGATCCCTGCAGTCACGAAAACTTCAAATCTAGATTGAATGAAATGAATCGAGACTGTGTCTGTGTCGACGTGTTGGACGGGGCGTGCGCTCGTTACGTGCCCAGGGAAGCCGTACGGGGGCCCACCCACCTGTTTCCCCATGCCGCTGATGAGCGGGAAGCGCAGGTCCTCCTCAGTAGCGGTCTTATAGCCCCTGCGGGAACATGGCCCGGCACATCCTCCTTCAGCCAGTGCCACTGGCAGCGACATCCAACGGTCGTCCCGCGTCTCCCTTCCACAACTCCCCTGTCTCCCACCCTGTGTCTCCGTGTCTCCCTTTCTCGTCTCTTCCTTGTCTCCCCCCGTGTCACCCACATCTACCCCGCGTCTCCCCTTGATATCACTCCACCTCTCCCTGGGTCTCCACTTCTTAATCTCTCGTGCCCCACGTCTCCCTGGCATCTCCTTTCCACGTCGGCTGGTGTCTCCGTCTGCGTCACTCCCCTTCACACCTACTCCAGGCTTTCCCCGCGTCTCCCCTCCATACATCTTCCTCACTTGTGCATCTTCCCCGCGTGTGCACCATCTCCCGTCCGTTTTTCTCTGCGTCCCCCGAAGCGTCCCTACGTCTCCCCCTGTGCACCCCACCGTCTCTTTCTCTCCTTATGTCTACCCTCCACGTGCGTCTCCCGCATTCCCACGTGACCTCCTGGCGTGTGAGGAGCCCCGGGCTGGGAGGGCAGTGGGGGCGGGGCGGAGGGAGGGGGGGGCGACGCACCAGCCGGTCATGTGATGAGAGCGGTAGAGGACCCTCATGCCAAGGTCACGGCGTAGCACCCGGCACCCAAACTCCAGCGGCGTGAAGATCTCCTTCAGCAGCTCGGGGCGCTCACTCGCCTAGGTGAAAGCAGCGTCAGAGACCGGGCTGTCAGTCTATTGTCTAGAGACCCCGTTAGAGACTGGCCTGTCAATAGCATTTTCTAGAGACCCAATCGGAACTCAGGTAAATGGGTGACAGTATGAGTGGGAGCCAAGTGAACACGCGTGGCAAGACGGTTACCAGCCGTTGCAGCCGCTGCCTCTCTGTCGTGGGAGTGAATTCATGCGACATGGGGATGACGTCCCTGGCCCTCACGATGATAGCCCTGCACCCCACACACGCACGGCGCGCGCTTTCTCTCTGCCACCGCCACGCGAGGGCGCCCGCGCGAGGTCACACCCTCGCGATCAGGTGCCCGCAGGCCATCACCCGCCGGCCGGGTCGTGGGAACGAGCGGCTTGTGGGTCCGGGTCGAGTGTCAAAACGTTCGACCCGCGCAGCAGCGGAGGACAAGATAAGCGGTGGCACTCCCCCGAGCCTGTGGTGGACATCTCACGTCACCACCGCACACTGCTGGACAATTACTGGAGGACCCACAAAGTGGTGCTCTAGTTGAGTGCTCTCCTAGACACTCTGCGAGTTCAAGGCAGCAAGTGGGTGGGAGTGCTCCAAGCACCAGGACAACCATCTTTGTCTTACCAGTGCTGATATCCAACTAACCCTGAGCCTACACACACACATGTAAACACACACACGCATGTACACACGCACACACACACACGTATACACACATGTTCACACACACAACAATAACCGCTATTCTCCACTAAGTGGTGGTGACATCACCACGGCGCTTGTGCCTGGCTATGTGCACGTTAAGGCTATGCAAAGTATCGAACGCCTATTGACAGGAGGTCGAGCTCTGGTCGGATGCGAGGGGCTGGTAGCCCCTCCACCTTCAACCCTAGTATCACTAAACCACGTGAAAAAAATCACACACACGCACACAAAGATCCCCCATATAGCCTTAACAGACTGTAGGGGCAAGTGCTGTTAGCGAGCACCTATGAAGGCCGGAACGGTACACGAGGGGGTGGGTGGCCAGCACCACGCCCGACCGCGTTTGTCTCCTTCGTGGCAATGTTTACACACCGCACCAGGTACGCATTTGAGGCTGAATCGACCTAGGGGAGGCCCGGTTCAGATAATCGTCACTGCTGTTGGCCGTGAGCGGGAATCGAACTCGTGTCGCCGGGTTCATAGTGCAGAGCGCTAACCGCTACACTATCGCTCCCCACACACACGACACACACAACACACACACACATACACACACCGGCTGTCCCCAGCATTGGCCACGTAAAGGTGGCCCAGTGCACACAGCGCCGCCATCGCAGTGCAGCCACCGCGCAGGTCGAACGACACGCGCTCCCTCTCGATCTGTCGGTCCTGCACGCGGGGGAACAGGGAGGGGACAGGGGGAGAGGGGAGAAGGAGGGAGGGATTACGAAACTGATTGATGAGATTTTCCGGTAAGAACTTACACCATAACACAACAAAAAAAGCCACAAAATCTAGCACAATAGTTTTAAGTGGGTTTGCGAGGCAAATGTAAGAGTTGCACGATTTTGAAACAGGGCTCACATCTTTCAAGGCTACTGTAAATGGTATGGCGGGTGAGCAGCACCGGCGCCGATTAGGTGACGTACGGGACGTGACTCAGACACACCGAGTAGCCGCGCACAGCCCAATCACCAAGCGTCCACACCCCTCGCCCCACCACGACTACGTGCGCACTCGCCACCCCGCTGCTTAAACGGTGGCAACGGCGGTGCGGAGACGGACCGGGAAAAACTCGCCACCTTCCCACGGGAACCCGCGCGCTCCGCCCGCGAGCGCCGCCCGGCCTCACCCACCATCTCGAGGAAGGCGCTCTCGATGGCGCCCACGACGATCTCGCCGCGCGACACGGCGCGCCCTTGCCGCGGGCGCGCGGGCTCGGCCGGCGCCTGCGGCGCGTTGGGCGCGGCGATGACAAACGGCGCGGGGCCCTCGGCCGCCAGGACCGGCGCCACCTTCTGCAGCGCTCGGCCCAGGAGGTTGTGCAGCGTGTGGGCCGCGGTGAGGGCCACGGCCGGACCGCCGTGCCCGTCAAATAGCGCCCAGTAGGGCAGCGCCTCCCCGACTGCGCCTGCGGGCACACACGCGTGCGGGGACACACGTGTGCGGGGACACGCGTGCGTCAGAGATGCGCGATACGCGAGCGAGCGATGCGTGTGACGTGGGTGATGTGCGAATGATGTCAGTGTGAACGGCGCTTGTCAGCGGTGCCTGGTTGAGCGTCGCCTGTATTGTTGTCACCTGTGAATGAGCTCACTGCTGCACCTCTGCGATTTTCCAAAACCACAGTTCCAGAGTTCTCCACGTCCTCGTTCGAAATGTTCCTGGGAGTTTTAGAATGGCGGTCCACGCCGCTCCCCAGAGCGTCGTGGGAGACCATCTCGAAGTCCTCGTGCAGGAGGAGCTCGGCGTCAGGAGGTTGGTGGCAGACACGGCCCGGTGGCAAGAGAGCCTCAGCCTTGTCTAGGAGAGCCGTGACCACGCCAGCGGCTGCCTGCACGGCCCATGAGGTGCGAGAGGGATAGGGAGAGAGTGGTGTTTTGGAGAATAAAAGTGTGACAATGCCCCTTTAAAACACACAGTGGAATTATTTGCCAAGACTGATTCATGAATTAAATTCTGAACCTCAAATCGTGGCACTTCATCAAGTCGCACTGAGCGGGTGAACCGTTACATTTTGGCTCTTGAGCACTGGCAATTTCCACTGAGCCCTGACCACTGAACACTAAACGTTGAAGACGCGTAAACCTGTGCCGGCTTGCCGCTCAATTCCCAAACCACTCAACTCGCACCGACTTGTGAGAGCCGAACAGAAAAAACGTCCGATGACCTGGCACCCATCATGGGAATGTGGAATGGCCACCACCGAATTCAACGTTTCGTTTTCACTATGATCCACATTGCCCAAAGCATGCTCACGCACGCACACGTGTGATCAGGCGCAGCGCGTGGGGAGACATTCCTAATCCAGCTGCTCGTTTCTCATCGTTTGTCACACGTCTCCTTTGCTTGCCGATTACGATTTTTATTTGGTAAAATGTCAGGGCCAGTGATGTGATGTCGAGTCCCGTCCGCTTGTGGTCACATCATCCGCCCTTTGGGGTTCTCACCGAGCCACAGGAGAGGGCAAGCTTCACGAGACCTCGTGCTCAACGGTGGCAGTTCCATCTCTCTCCACGGGAGAAACTACGGAAATGAACCACCGATTATAATCTGTCTGTACGGCATCTCGTACGTATGTATGTATCTCAGCCGAACTGGTAATGATAGAGAACCAAAAATGTCTGAACCTCGCGGAAGTGGAACCATAAAAGCTGTCAATTCTCCTTTGCCAAGATTTGCCGACATTGCTTGTGAATTGCAGGGCCAATAGATAAGTGGAAGTCACACCAGTTCCCTTTTCACTCTCAATGCACGCGGGCCATGTGATTCAACTCGTATAACGATGTGTTTGGTCTGCGGAACTATCTCCGAGCCTCAGGAGTTTTTTTCAGGAGAGTCCTGCTCTACTGGGGATGTTTCAGCACAGTTCCATTGCGAGAAAGGTTTAATGTGTGGAGGCCAATATTATCCATAAGAGGTGTTTGGGTTAGATCGCGTAAATATAAATGTGTCGCTAATCCTGCCACCTCCCACCAGAGCCAATTAGTAAGGTTTGTCACGTAAAAAAAAACGTGCCAATTCGTGGCTAATACAGCATACCAGTGCGTTGGAGAGTAAACCCACAACATTTACAATTCAAGTACAACGTCTCGCCAGTAATTACAACTAGCATCATCAGGCAACAGTCAACTCTGGCTGTGGCCTGATGATGTAATTACTGGCTAAACGTCATACTCAAATTGTAAATGTTGTGGGTTTACTCTCCAATGTTGTGGGTTTACTCTCTAACGCACCCGTGTGCTGTACTAGTAATGAATTGGCACGTTCTGTTTACGTGAATAAACGTACAAACTGGCTGTGCCGGGTGGTGGCGGGTTTAACAACACATATTTACTTGATCGAACCCAAAAACCTCTATTGTGTAGACAGACTGGAGAACTCGGAGAGAACCTCCCACTCACACCACGGCATGACACTCAAGGGTCCACAAGGTCAGGTTCACAACCTGCTTTGCTGTACTGCTTTTCCAGGCTACCCCACAGCCCAGCAGTTTTTGGAAGTTTCACTAAACTACATGATCCATCGACGGCTGAAAAAAATCGCACGGAGCTTTTGAAACTCATAAAACATGCCGGGCTGCAAAGCGGCCAACATGTGGCAGTACAACAAGTGGGTTTGAAACTGTCTGTGCAGACTTTATATAGTGTTATACCCACTGAACACAAGTCCCTCCCGCATGCAAATCATCACATACAAAATTAATTGGCCAAACATCCAAAATGTGGGACACTTCCTGAAAAAGAGCTTAAGATTTAATGTGACGCTTTCTAAAGATAAAAAAAATCAGTGGCACGGTGGAGTGTTTGTTAGTTTAACACGTAGGCTTTCGCGACCAATATTATGCATAAGGGTTAGATCCTTATTTGCTATTACCTGGCTCCCCAGCTGTGACGATGTGTGCAGGGGTCCGTCCGTGCAGGCTGTGGGGGGCCACTCCAGTGGCAGCATGAGGCAGGCTGCCTGGTCCTCGTTGCACCGGCTCTTGTTGTGGTTCGTGGCCCTTGACACGCAGAAGCGTCACACGCGGACCCCAAACAGCAATTCCATTGCTGTTTGCAATGCGCAACAAATCCTGGGGGAAATCACTCGGCATAGCCGCGCCCCCACGGCTCACTCGGCATAGCCGCAACACAACGGCTCGCTCGGCATAGCCGCACTCCCACGACTCACTCGGCATAGTCGCACCCCCACGGCTCGCACCCCCACGGCTCACTCGGCATAGCCGCAACCCAACGACTCGCTCGGCATAGCCGCGACCCCTGGGACTCACTCAGCATAGCCGCACCCCCACGGCAAACCCGCCGCACCGGGGCGCACAGCCCGCACCACCGAGCAACCGTCCGGCTGCGTTTCCTGCTGCTGCTGCTGTTGCTGCTGCTCGTGTAGCTCCCGTTGCTGCTCTCCGTGTGGAGGTTGCTGTTCTTGCTCCTCCTGCTGCCTCTCCTGCCTCTGCCCCCCCAAGTGCTGGCACTGCTCCTCCGCCTGCTGCTGCTGTCGTTGCCGCCGCAGCGCCTTCCACAGCTCGACCTGCTGCGTCTCCTCCTCTCCCTCCTGCCGCGTCCTGCGCTGCTGCCGCTGTGGGTCCTGCTGCTGCTCCGTGGACAGCACGAAGGCAGGCCGGCTTGACGGGTAGCGCTGCGGCAGCGCTTCACAGTCGGGCCGGCTCTGGTCTCGCAACCCCTGACCCGCCGGCTTTCCTTCCCGGCCGGGTTCCGCTCTGTCACCAGGTCCCGGTTCGACTCCAGTCCCGGCTCGCGGGCTCCGCGTGCCGCTCCGGTGCAGATACTGCGCGGCCATCCGAGACACGTGCTCCTGGAGGCTACTCAACATTGCCGCAACTCGCTTGGCAGCTACTACGACGACTCACGTGGCCGCTGCTACCGCTGCCGTTACCGGTGACATCGGCTGGAACCCGAGCTATAATTCCACGGTGGTGTCTTCTCGGGACTGCTGTGGCGATCTTGATCTGTGCGACAGCATGAAGAGAAATGATCACACGCAATGTGAGCGCAGGCAACACGGCGAGCGGTGAATTACAGGGCGAACACCTCGTATCCGCGATATGGGCGGCCCAAATTGTAGATCCCATTAATTGTAATAATTATAACTAATAGGGCCGCAAATAAGAGTTTTGAAGGGATTTTCAGCTGCCACGGCTAATTGTGGTTGTAGGTAATAGGGGTTGCAGATAATAGGGGTTCCAGATAATAGGGCCTGCAGCTAATAGGGGTTGTAGACAATTGGGGCTGCAGGTAATAGGGGTTGCAGGTAATAAGGGTTGCAGGTAATAGGGGCTGCAGGTAACAGGGGCTGCAGGTAATAGGGGCTGCAGGTAGTAGGGTCGCGGTTCGAGAAGCTCTCCAGCAGTGTAAACAACATCGGTAACAGGAAGGGAAGTGTGTACTGTACAAGTCATTTCTGAAGAGAAAAAAAACCCCAAAAGCTGTCGCTACCACAAGTCAACAACACAGCAGCCAATACAACCCCCACGAAGTAGACAGACCAACCACATGGGGTGGCTACAGCAGGAGACGCCAACAGCGACTCCTGGATTACCAATGGCTATGTACAACATAGGCAGCAGCAGCAGCAGCTAGCTGTACAGTCGGCGTACATTCATAAAAGCAACGGCACTTCAGATGAACACACATGAAGGTCACGCAGTTCGGGTTAGTCAGCAGGGGAACAACCATAACACAGAGACGGCAACACAAAGCCAATGTAACACCAACTCATTGTAACACCGAGCCATTGTAACAGCAAGCCATTGTAACAGCAAGCTATTGTAACACCAAGCCATTGTAACACCAAGCCGTTGTAACACCAAGCCATTGTAACAGCAAGCTATTGTAACACAAAGCCATTGTAACGCCAAGCCATTGTAACACCAAGCCATTGTAACACCAAGGTATTGTAACACCAAGCCATTGTAACAGCAAGCTATTGTAACACCAAGCCATTGTAACAGCAAGCCATTGTAACACCAAGCCATTGTAACGCCAAGCCATTGTAACGCCAAGCCATTGTAACAGCAAGCCATTGTAACGCCAAGCCATTGTAACACCCACCCATTGTAACACCAAGCCATTGTAACAGCAAGCCATTGTAACACCAAGCCATTGTAACAGCAAGCCATTGTAACAGCAAGCCATTGTAACAGCAAGCCATTGTAACAGCAAGCCATTGTAACAGCAAGCCATTGTAACAGCAGCGGTAGCAACAGCAAGCGGTAGCAACAGCAGCGGTAGCAACAGCAGCGGATAGCAACACAAAGATACAGAAAGTCTACAACAGCAGTGCTACAGCTGAAGCAGACACAGCAACACAAGTGCAACAGCAACACACGTGAAACAGTAACACAAGTGAAACAGCAACACACGTGACACAGCAACACAAGTGAAACAGCAACACACGTGACACAGCTACACAAGTGAAACAGCAACACAAGTGCAACAGCAACACACGTGCAACAGCAACACAAGTGAAACAGCAACACACGTGAAACAGCAACACAAGTGAAACAGCAACACAAGTGAAACAGTAACACACGTGAAACAGCAACACAAGTGAAACAGCAACACAAGTGAAACAGCAACACAAGTGAAACAGCTACACACGTGAAACAGTAACACGTGAAACAGCAACACATGTGAAACAGTAACACAAGTGAAACAGCAACACAAGTGAAACAGCAACACACGTGAAACAGCAACACACCTGAAACAGCAACACAAGTGAAACAGCAACACAAGTGAAACAGCAACACAAGTGAAACAGCTACACAAGTGAAACAGTAACACAAGTGAAACAGCAACACAAGTGCAACAGCAACACACGTGCAACAGCAACACAAGTGAAACAGCAACACACGTGAAACAGCAACACAAGTGAAACAGCAACACAAGTGAAACAGTAACACACGTGAAACAGCAACACAAGTGAAACAGCAACACAAGTGAAACAGCAACACAAGTGAAACAGCTACACACGTGAAACAGTAACACGTGAAACAGCAACACATGTGAAACAGTAACACAAGTGAAACAGCAACACAAGTGAAACAGCAACACACGTGAAACAGCAACACACGTGAAACAGCAACACAAGTGAAACAGCTACACACGTGAAACAGTAACACGTGAAACAGCAACACACGGGAAACAGTAACACAAGTGAAACAGCAACACACGTGAAACAGCAACACACGTGAAACAGCAACACAAGTGAAACAGCAACACACGTGAAACAGCAACACACGTGAAACAGCAACACAAGTGAAACAGTAACACAAGTGACACAGCAACACAATTGAAACAGCAACACAAGTGACACAGCAACACACGTGACACAGCAACACACGTGACACAGCAACACAAGTGAAACAGCAACACACGTGACACAGCAACACACGTGAAAGAGCAACACACGTGACACAGTAACACAAGTGAAACAGTAACACAAGTGAAACAGTAACACACGTGAAACACTAACACAAGTGAAACAGTAACACAATTGAAACAGTAACACAAGTGAAACAGCAACACAAGTGAAACAGTAACACACGTGACACAGCAACACAAGTGAAACAGCAACACAAGTGAAACAGCAACACACGTGACACAGCAACACACGTGAAACAGTAACACGTGAAACAGCAACACACGGGAAACAGTAACACAAGTGAAACAGCAACACACGTGAAACAGCAACACACGTGAAACAGCAACACAAGTGAAACAGTAACACACGTGAAACAGCAACACACGTGAAACAGCAACACAAGTGAAACAGTAACACAAGTGACACAGCAACACAAGTGAAACAGCAACACAAGTGACACAGTAACACACGTGACACAGCAACACACGTGACACAGCAACACAAGTGAAACAGCAACACACGTGACACAGCAACACACGTGAAACAGCAACACACGTGACACAGTAACACAAGTGAAACAGTAACACACGTGATACAGTAACACACGTGACACAGTAACACACGTGACACAGTAACACACGTGAAACACTAACACAAGTGAAACAGTAACACAAGTGAACCAGTAACACACGTGAAACAGCAACACAAGTGAAACAGTAACACAAGTGAAACAGTAACACACGTGATACAGTAACACACGTGACACAGTAACACACGTGACACAGTAACACACGTGAAACACTAACACAAGTGAAACAGTAACACAAGTGAAACAGTAACACACGTGAAACAGCAACACAAGTCAAACAGTAACACACGTGACACAGTAACACACGTGAAACAGCAAGACACGTGACACAGCAACACAAGTCAAACAGCAACACACGTGCAACAGCAACACACGTGCAACAGCAACACAAGTGAAACAGTAACACACGTGAAACAGTAACACACGTGAAACAGCAACACAAGTGACATAGTAACAAACGTGACACAGTAACACAAGTGAAACAGTAACACACGTGATACAGCAACACAAGTGACACAGTAACACACGTGACACAGTAACACACTTGACACAGTAACACACGTGACACAGTAACACAAGTGAAACAGTAACACACGTGACACAGTAACACACGTGACACAGTAACACAAGTGAAACAGCAACACACGTGACACAGTAACACACGTGACACAGCAACACACGTGACACAGCAACACAAGTGAAACAGTAACACACGTGAAACAGTAACACAAGTGAAACAGCAACACAAGTGAAACAGTAACACACGTGCAACAGCAATACACGTGACACAGTAACACAAGTGACACAGTAACACACTTGACACAGTAACACAAGTGAAACAGTAACACACGTGACACAGCAACACAAGTGACACAGTAACACACTTGACACAGTAACACACGTGACACAGTAACACAAGTGAAACAGTAACACAAGTGAAACAGTAACACACGTGAAACAGCAACACACGTGACACAGTAACACAAGTGACACAGTAACACACGTGACACAGTAACACACGTGACACAGTAACACAAGTGACACAGTAACACACGTGACACAGCAACACACGTGACACAGTAACACAAGTGAAACAGCAACACAAGTGACACAGTAACACACGTGACACAGCAACACACGTGACACAGCAACACAAGTGACACAGTAACACAAGTGAAACAGCAACACACGTGACACAGCAACACAAGTGAAACAGTAACACACGTGAAACAGCAACACACGTGAAACAGCAACACAAGTGCAACAAACAGCAACACACGTGACACAGCAACACACGTGACACAGCAACACACGTGACACAGCAACACACGTGACACAGCAACACACGTGACACAGCAACACAGCTCACGTGCACTATCACATCACGAGTACAGTGCGGGACGTACCGAGACAGCTGAGACAGCAGCGGAACTTGGATCAGCTGATGCGGGTACAGTGCAGCCTGTAACTAGTACAGCGTGTAACTAGTACAGCGTGTAACTAGTACAGCCCCTAACTAGTACAGCGTGTAACTAGTACAGCGTGTAACTAGTACAACCTGTAACTAGTACACCGTATAACTAGTACATCGTGTAACTAGTACACCGTGTAACTAGTACAGCCCCTAACTAGTACAGCATGTAACTAGTACAGCTCGTAACTAGTACATCGTGTAACTAGTACAGCATGTAACTAGTACAACCCCTAACTAGTACAGCGTGTAACTAGTACAGCGTGTAACTAGTACAGCCTGTAACTAGTACAGCCCCTAACTAGTACAGCCTGTAACTAGTACAGCCCCTAACTAGTGCAGCGTGTAACTAGTACAGCGTGTAACTGGTACAGCGTGTAACTAGTACAACCCCTAACTAGTACAGCGTGTAACTAGTACAGCCCGTAACTAGTACAGCGTGTAACTAGTACAGCGTGTAACTAGTACAGCATGTAACTAGTACAACCCCTAACTAGTACAGCGTGTAACTAGTACAGCGTGTAACTAGTGCAGCGTGTAACTAGTACACTAGTACAGCCCCTAACTAGTACATCGTGTAACTAGTACATCGTGTAACTAGTATAGCCCCTAACTAGTGCAGCGTGTAACTAGTACATCGTGTAACTAGTACAACCCCTAACTAGTACAGCATGTAACTAGTACAGCGTGTAACTAGTACATCGTGTAACTAGTACAGCGTGTAACTAGTACATCGTGTAACTAGTACAGCCCCTAACTAGTACAGAGGAGTCGGTGCAGTCCGCGACGTCGAGTTCCGCGGGCTGCCGCTGTGACGAGCGCAGCGGCACTGACCTCGCCACTTCCTGCAGTGACTGGACTATAGAGACAAAGACAAAGCTCCCCCGTGTAGCCTTCACAGACAGGTCCTGGGGGGGGGGCTAACACCACGCCAGGCCGCCTTTGTCTTCCCCGGGGCTGATGTGGAACACACCGCACCAGGCGTCGATTTAAGGCTGAGTCGACCTAGGGGAGGGCACAGGGCCGGTTCTGAATGGTTATAATTGGCGTTGGCGGTGAGCGGGCAACGAACTCGGATTCAGTTTTAGTTTTAGTTCAGTTGATTTATTTTGGTATAGCCCTGTGAGCCATTCGGCTCTTGAATCGGGTGCAACCACAACAAGCAAAACAAAAACACGAACAAGAAAAACATCTTAAAGTGACTATGTGACTGTGCAAACAGAAAATCCATGAAAAAAACATTAAATATTCCTGAAAAAAGCACCGTACACCAACGCTGTGTGCAAAAAAATCCCAGTGAGATGCAAGTCAAACAACAACAACCACAAGACAACTTAGATTAAGGCCGTCAGTCTAACTCCGTACTACAACAAAACAAACATGTCCAAACAAAAACACTTTTCGAAATCACCAAAAAATAAAGCCATAATTGCAACGTAACAGTGATCACAGGGACTGTGACCGAATTTTTACAAAAAACTACATAAATAACATGTAACACCAAATCTTAGAGCCATAGCTGGCTGCATGAGTTACTCCACAACAACAGAAGCATCAGTCGGAGTATCAAATTTTTCAATGCACCTTTCAGATCAGCACGCTAAATCAAAATACAGATAATACTTTGCAGCGTCATCCTGAGCGAAACATTTTATTTTATTTTACGCCAATGAATAGCAGTGGCAGATAGGGGTGTACAACTCCTCTAGAGCAGTTTTGAGAGAAGATCTCATACGTAGTGATTCAAGTTGTAGTTTATTCGCAATAGCATTCCAGACCCTGGGGGCATCAATAGCAAAGGCCCTTCCTCCAGTTTTTGTACGGCAATAAGGAATGTGAAGCTGGTAAATGAGCGAAGACCTGAGGTCAAATTTGTTCTTTGAAACAGAGAGGAGATCCAGCAGGTAGTCTGCGGATTTTTTTGTAAGTACATCGTGAATAAATAAGGTCTGGTGCACAAGCCGTCGAACATTAAGAGATGTTAAGTTTGACCCAATGTAGAGATCACAGTGGTGAGTCCTATATGGGCAGTTCAATGTAAATCTTAAGGCCGAGTGATAGATGGAATCAAGCTTCTTCAGTACTGTACTTGGGGCTGATTTATACACGATATCACAGTAATCAAGTAGAGGCAGTATGGTAGCTTTTATCAATTCCAAACGGAACATTGGGGGGAAGCAGTGCTCGTGTCGATACAGAAAACCAATTTTTATTTTTTAATTTTTACCAATATAATCAATGTGATATTCAAAATTAAATTTTGAATCCAGGATGACCCCAAGATACTTATAGATCTTGACTTGCTCTATTTGATAATTATTTAAGGAATGTAATAGGGGAAAAATAACTTCCTGCTTTAGTCCCGGTGAGAAGCATAGCACCTTGGTTTTGGAGGTATTCAGGACTAGTTTAAGAGCAACTAGCTGATGTTGTAGTTTGTTGAAATCACCCTGTAGCTTAGCAATCACGTCATCTGAAGAGCGGCCGGCAGTAATCAGTATCGTGTCATCTGCAAAAAGATTTACCCTGGAATGATCCAGGTCAGTGCCCAAGTCATTGACATAAAGAGAGAACAAAAGGGGGCCGAGGATGGAACCCTGTGGAACCCCTTTTGTTATCTTAACACTGTTTGATCTCCAACTATCTGTGAATACAGTTTGGGTGCAAGAAAAGAGGTAATTTTTTCACCATTTTACTGCGTTTTCGGAGAAACCGAGGCAACTTACAGTGAGGGAAAAAAGTATTTGATCCCCTGCTGATTTTGCACGTTTGCCCACTGACAAAGAAATGATCAGTCTATAATTTTAATGGTAGGTTTATTTGAACAGTGAGAGACAGAATAACAACAACAAAATCCAGAAAAACATGTCAAAAATGTTATAAATTGATTTGCATTTCAATGAGGGAAATAAGTATTTGACCCCCTCTCAATCAGAAAGATTTCTGGCTCGCAGGTGTCGTTTATACAGATAACGAGCTGAGATTAGGAGCACACTCTTAAAGGGAGTGCTCCTAATCTCAGCTTGTTACCTATATAAAAGACACCTGTCCACAGAAGCAATCAATCAGATTCCAAACTCTCCACCATGGCCAAGACCAAAGAGCTCTCCAAGGATGTCAGGGACAAGATTGTAGACCTACACAAGGCTGGAATGGGCTACAAGACCATTGCCAAGCAGCTTGGTGAGAAGGTGACAAGAGTTGGTGCGATTATTCGCAAATGGAAGAAACACAAAAGAACTGTCAATCTCCCTCGGCCTGGGGCTTCATGCAAGATCTCACCTCGTGGAGTTGCAATGATCATGAGAACGGTGAGGAATCAGCCCAGAACTACACGGGGGGATCTTGTCAATGATCTCAAGGCAGCTGGGACCATAGTCACCAAGAAAACAATTGGTAACACACTACGCCGTGAAGGACTGAAATCCTGCACCGCCCGCAAGGTCCCCCTGCTCAAGAAAGCACATATACATACCCGTCTGAAGTTTGCCAATGAACATCTGAATGATTCAGAGGACAACTGGATGAAAGTGTTGTGGTTAGATGAGACCAAAATGGAGCTCTTTGGCATGAACTCAACTCGCCGTGTTTGGAGGAGGAGGAATGCTGCCTATGACCCCAAGAACACCATCCCCACCGTCAAACATGGGGGTGGAAACATTATGCTTTGGGGGTGTTTTTCTGCTAAAGGGACAGGACAACTTCACCGCATCAAAGGGACGATGGACGGGGCCATGTACCATAAAATCTTGGGTGAGAACCTCCTTCCCTCAGCCAGGGCATTAAAATGGGTCCTGGATGGGTATTCCAGCATGACAATGACCCAAAACACACGGCCAAGGCAACAAAGGAGTGGCTCAAGAAGAAGCACATTAAGGTCCTGGAGTGGCCTAGCCAGTCTCCAGACCTTAATCCCATAGAAAATCTGTGGAGGGAGCTGACGGTTCGAGTTGCCAAACGTCAGCCTCAAAACCTTAATGACTTGGAGAAGATCTGCAAAGTGGAGTGGGACAAAATCCCTCCTGAGATGTGTGCAAACCTGGTGGCCAGCTACAGGAAACGTCTGACCTCTGTGATTGCCAACAAGGGTTTTGCCACCAAGTACTAAGTAATGTTTTGCAGAGGGGTCAAATACTTATTTCCCTCATTAAAATGCAAATCAATTTATAACATTTTTGACGTGTTTTTCTGGATGTTTTTGTTGTTATTCTGTCTCTCACTGTTCAAATAAACCTACCATTAAAATGATAGACTGATCATTTCTTTGTCAGTGGGAAAACGTACAAAATCAGCAGGGGATCAAAAACTTTTTTCCTCACTGTAGTTTACTAAGCAGGGTGTTGTGGTCTACTGTATCAAAAGCTTTGGACAGGTCTAGAAAAAGACAGGCACAGTACTGCTTATTATCAAGGCGACTGTAAATGTGATTCAGAGAGTCTAATGCAGCAGATGTGGTGCTGTATTTTTTTCGGAACTCAGATTGTTTTAGATGTAGTAGATTGTTGGTGGACAGGAAACAGCTAATTTGGTAGGTCAATAATTTTTCAAAAATTTTCATCAACGGGGACAAAATTGAGATAGGTCGGTAGTTATTTGGATCATCTTTAGGGCCCCCTTTGTGAAGTGGACAGACATAGGAATGTTTCCATTCTAGAGGAACTGATGCTTCTTTGATGGACAGGTTGAAAATATGGGCTATAGGTTTGTATATTAGGTGACCAACAGTTAGTAGAGGAAAGACGGGAATACTATGGATTCGTCGTTTAGTGCGCTAACCACTGCGCCACCGCTCCTCCATTTACAACCTTGAGGCCACGTGAAGCGTGGAAGGCTCTCGCCGCTGGCCAAGGAGGTCATGGGACCGAGAAGACTGCCAGACGCCAGTCTGTGCCAACTCGCTGGGTTGTTTTTAAACTCCACGGAGCTCCGCTCGTTGTTCTCCACTCTCTGTGATTGTCAGAGGGCGACTGCCTTCAAATGTCACGTCGCTCTGACCAAGGGTGGAGCTACAGGGGGGGGGGGGGGTTGGGGGGGGGCTTAGCCCCCCCCTGAAATTTTGGGAAAGTCGGTAATCGGGATAACCGGATATCCGGCTGCTTCAAAATGCAGGCTGCCACCTTGTGCTGCCCTGCAGGCTGCCACCTCGTGTGCTGCCCTGCAGGCTGCCACCTTGTGCTGCCACCTTGTGCTGCCCTGCAGGCTGCTTGAGCGGCAGCCTTTCGAACTTATCGAACTTATTAGCCACATCAGCGGCTCCGACCTATTAATAAACTTCGCGTTCAAATCCAATAAAATTTGTTTTATACATTTGTGGCGCCCATTGGAAAACATTACACTGGATATCTCACAATATTGAAGTCAGCCACCCCCCCAAAGTCAAAATCCTGGCTCCGACCCTTTTTCTGACGTGCACCTCTTCTGTCACTTCGCAGTGCCAGGCGAAGGGGCAAAAGGCCGATCTTGACATCGCTGGCACCAAACTTCGGCAAGTCCACTCAGCTTGACACCCTCCCTTACCACATCATCCCATCTCGAACCGTGCCAGAGCCGTGCCAGGGCCGCTTAAGCCCCCCCCCCCCCCCCTTCTATCCGGCCAAACAGAAATTGCACTGTGGGGCAACATCCACGTCTTTAAGTATCTGTGAGCTCCTCTTCCTTACGCAACGCAGCATCAATCAGTGCCTACGCTCTGTACTCCCCACTCCCTCCTCCTCCACGTTATCATGAGTCTCCAAGTTGTAGACCACGTGGACTCGTTGTGTGTCGACATAAGGCTTAGACCACGGGTCGTCAACTAAAATAACAAGAAGTGTAATTGTATTTCTCGAATTAGGTTGAAAAAAAACCCCTCAATATTTCAAAAGCCGCATTGCATGCGAACAACGTCACGAATCAGTCCTTAGGGGCCTGTCCATAAATGACGTCACGTACCTAGGGGGGGTCAGACATTTGTGACGATGAGAAATGTGACGTCACATCAAAATAGACAACACGTTCTACTTAATTAAATATACTTTTAATAAATGTTTTCTCCTACAACATCAGAGTGCAGCGCCACATTAAATACGCACTACAATGACAATAGTTTAAAGCGATTTGAAGCATGTTTTATTTGTTGGGGGAGGGCAGAGCTTTGTGACGTCATATTTCAGGGGTGTCTGACTTTGTGACGCCGTGTGACGAAAGGGTTGGGGGGGGTCAAAAATGGTCCAAAATCGCGTGACGTCATTTATGGAGGGCCCCTTATAGAGCCGCACTGCGGAACCACGTGTTGCCCACCCCTGGATTAGACTTTGCAGGTGGCTTTGATCACTTGGTTACGCTCTGCCCATCATTGTTTGGCCATGGGTGGGTAGGGTGCCTTGCAATGTTCCCGAAGCCATCGTGAGACCACCTTTGCCAGTATTCAATTTGTGTTGTCTCTCTCTGCTTGTGTGTCTGTCTGTGTGTCTCTGTGTTGTCTCTCTCTGCTTGTGTGTCTGTCTGTGTGTCTCTGTGTTGTCTCTCTCTGCTTGTGTGTCTGTCTGTGTGTCTCCGTGTCTGTGTTGTCTCTCTCTGCTTGTGTCTGTCTGTGTGTCTCTGTGTCTGTGTTGTCTCTCTCTGCTTGTGTGTCTGTCTGTATGTCTCTGTGTTGTCTCTCTCTGCTTGTGTGTCTGTCTGTGTGGCTCGGTGTCTGTGTTGTCTCTCTCTGCTTGTGTGTCTGTCTGTGTGTCTCCGTGTCTGTGTTGTCTCTCTCTGCTTGTGTGTCTGTCTGTGTGTCTCCGTATTGTATCTGTCTCTCTGCTTGTGTGTCTGTCTGTGTGTCTCCGTATTGTCTCTGTCTCTCTGCTTGTGTGTCTGTCTGTGTGTCTCTGTGTTGTCTCTCTCTCTCTGCTTGTGTGTCTGTCTGTGTGTCTCTGTGTTGTCTCTCTCTGCTTGTGTGTCTGTCTGTGTGTCTCTGTGTTGTCTCTCTCTGCTTGTGTGTCTGTCTGTGTGTCTCCGTGTCTGTGTTGTCTCTCTCTGCTTGTGTGTCTGTCTGTGTGTCTCCGTATTGTCTCTGTCTCTCTGCTTGTGTGTCTGTCTGTGTGTCTCCGTATTGTCTCTGTCTCTCTGCTTGTGTGTCTGTGTGTGTGTCTCTGTATTGTCTCTCTCTCTCTGCTTGTGTGTCTGTCTGTGTGTCTCTGTGTTGTCTCTCTCTGCTTGTGTGTCTGTCTGTGTGTCTCCGTATTGTATCTGTCTCTCTGCTTGTGTGTCTGTCTGTGTGTCTCCGTATTGTCTCTGTCTCTCTGCTTGTGTCTGTCTGTGTGTCTCCGTATTGTCTCTGTCTCTCTGCTTGTGTGTCTGTCTGTGTGTCTCCGTATTGTCTCTGTCTCTCTGCTTGCGTGTCTGTCTGTGTGTCTCCGTGTCTGTGTTTTCTCTCTCTCTCTCTCTCAAATTGAGCAATCTTTCGAGGAACGTAATCAACCAGGTAGGGTGTTGACTGTTGTGTTTGCCGACTGTCTATGTTGTATTGCATTGTATTTCTAAGTGTACTAGGTTTGTTTTCTACCTGATGACGATTGCTTGTGTTGCAATCGAAACGTCGTATTCTATTATTTAGTTTATTTTTTCTACGTGACTTTATCGAAAGAACCAAAAGAGTTTGATACTGGTAGGAACTTCCAGGTTACACCAGCCCACAGGGGATTATTGTGTCCGTCCGTCGTGCATCCAAAAATGGGAGGGGTTGGGCTGGGTGGAGAAGGGAGGGTGGGGAGGGGCTGGGTGGGGAGGGAGGGGCTGGGTGGGGAGGGTGGGGAGAGGCTGGGTGGGAAGGGGCTGGGTGGGGAGGGTGGGGAGGGGCTGGGTGGGGAGGGTGGGGCTGGGTGGGGTGTGGGAGGGGAGGGGCTGGGTGGGGAGGGGCTGGTCACCCCGTGGTGCCCTTATAAAACTCAACGTTTAACCTACTCACGCCGGCTTGTGCCCGCCCTCACATTCGGACATTTTTGCGGAATACACCACGTGGTGCCGCCGTTGACCCTGGCCATTGACCGAGCAACCCAACGTTCCTACCAGCTCCCTCCGCCCGAATGTGTTAATAGCGTTTTCCCCTTTCTGATAATAAACGAAAGCTGTCTCTGGTGTGAACCAATCAGTTTCAAAGACAATGCACTTACTGTCAGAGCATGTCTTTTTTTATTCTTGGTTTATTGGTTTTATATTTTTATTATTTTATTGTTTCCCTTCTACGTGACTTTACCGAAAGAACCAAGAATATGAATCCCTACAGTCACGAAAGCTTTAAATCAAATTTTTTTTGTTTGCATGTTCACCACAAGTATGTGTGGTTAAATCTAGATTTGAAGCTTTCGTGACTGCAGGAATCCATACTCTTTGGTTCTTTCGGTAAAGTCACGAAGGTATATTTTATTTTATACCTACGTGACTTCACCGAAAGAACCCAAGAATATATGTGGTTAATGCAGATACGATTCCTTGCAAAGGATTCAGTTTGATGTGTTAACACATCTTAACACCTGTTTTATTTCCAGAAAGGGGAAAATCCTATTATCATTACCGAAGCCAACGCATTTTATACTTTTCCATACCTGTTGGGCCCGCTTAGCCATTCGCGTCTTGGCCCTCCTCTTCTGGCCTCCATACCGACGTTTCGTGGAGAGGCCTAATCGCCAGCATGGAGATTCTCACGAGGCCTTGCTGCCCACCTGGACACTGGGCAGGCGTGCAGCACGCGTGGGTGTCGATCCCGGGCAGGTGTTGCCAACTGCTGAAAACAGAACGCGTTATTGGGTCGTGATGATGCTGCTGCTGCTGTTGCTGCGTTGGCAGTGGTGGACAAAGAACAAAACCTGAACACATCCGTCTATAATATCCTGTCAAGCGCTTACTAGGCAACGCGTGCTCATCTGCACTCGCGCGCGGCTGCTATGATGGGCCCAATGAGTGGGAGACACGCAGACGCACCACCAAGGCAGGATCTCGGCAGCGCTGGGCTCGGTGTTTGCTGATCAAGCCATGATGAATCCTAAGGCAGAGACAGACACCCAACCCCACCCTGAACGTGTACCCTGGATCTCATTGGAGTTCGTTGACGACGTGACTTGGCCATTGTGAACCCCATGGTGGGAGGAGAGAGGGACACTCAGGCACAGGTTATAATCCTTCACTGGCAGCGCTGGTGTCTCAAGTTTCCCGCCGCTGCCATTTTCAACTCCGTGTCACTCGAGCGCTTTAAAAGGCACCAGGGACAGACCTTTGCACCTCTGCGGATATTGGCATTTGCATTAATTAACTAATCTAATTGTGCAACGAGTTATCCATCTCTAGCAGGCTAAATTGTAATCTTAAAAAATGTGCCCGCTTGAGCATATTTAACTTTTTTAGCAGATGTCAATTTAATATCGGGCCTTTAGAATTGAGGATCGTTTAATCGTTATATGTATTAACGTGAGCGTGCGTGAAGAGTCCGTCCTGGGTACCGTATATAACAGGGGGCGCAGGCGCGGATGAGTGTCACACGACCAAGAGCTTCAGCGGTCTCCTGTCATCCACCTTGGGACGACAACGGCGTGAATCTCGCCTCCGTCTCGCCTACCTGTCAATATCGCAGTGCGTCTGCGACTCAGCGGTAACGGAACGAGTGTCTGGATTTCCCCTCTCCCCCCCCACGTTCTAAAGGCCACAGTGTCGCAATCCATCACCGTCATCAGCAATGACATATCTACTGCTCGATGAAGGCCTTGGCCAAAACCGTTGCCATCTTCCACCATCTGGCGATGCAACAATCCATCAATCACGGATGATGGCCACCTGCCCAACCAGCTGACATCATTGCTCCGTCTCCGACTTCATTCACCTTTTCCCATTGCCTTGTTGCTTATTTGCCCATTTACCAAATTGCCCCCCCCCCCCTTGTTTGCCCGCCCGCCTGCCCCCTCGTTGTCCGTTGGCGGCGCAGGGAGGCCAACGATGTCGGGCACGGCTGAGACGGCGCGCGGGGGGCAGCAGCAGCCGCAGCCGCCACAGCAGCAGCCGCAGCAGCAGCCGCAGCAGCAGCCGCCGCAGCAGCCGCCCCCTCTGCGGGTGGCGGTGCTGGACGCCGAGTACGGGAAGCGCGGCGTGCGCCTCCTGCAGCTGCGGCGCGACCCCCGCGGCCTCCACGCGGTGCGCGAGGCGCGCGCGCGGCTGCTGCTCAGCCTGGCGTCGAGCGAGGACTACGAGCGCGGGGACAACGCGGCCGTGGTGCCCACGGACACGCTCAAGAACACCGTGCACGCACTCGCGCTCGCCAACGGGGTCAGTGGCGCGCTGACCGTGGTGCTGCGGCAGCAGCAACAATTCGGGGAGGGGAGGGGAGGGGTGGGCGCAGCGCTGAGGCGCGATTTGGTCGAGCATGGGGTCGAGCTGTTACGGGATAGAGGCATGGGTTGTTGGTGCCGGTGACGTTGTTGTTTTTGTTGATTGTGGTCCTGGTCGCGTGCTAGATCCGCTGTCTGGAGGAGTTCGCGAGCCAGCTGTGCGAGCACGTGCTGCGCACTCACGGCCGCGTGGAGCGCGTGCGCGCCTCGCTCACGGAGACGCCCTGGAGACGAATGCACCTGGTAGAGCCTCCCCCCATCCTCCTCCTCCTCCTCCTCAATCCCAGCCGCCCACCACACACACCTCGCCCCTGTTGTCTCGCACTCTCCACTCTATTCTGGTGCACGATGGCAGCAGCCAGAGTCATCCCTATATTACGGGACATCGGGGCGACTGCCCCGGGCCCCGTGCTTGGGGGGAGGGGGGGCACGCTTCAATTTCACAGTGTCAGCTGTAATACTTTTGGTTTAGTTAGAAGGCGTGGGGGGGGGGGGGCACAGTGTTGTTTCAGAATTAGAATATTTATGTTTCAGGATTCCGATGAGCTATAAAGCTCTTTTTCACAGATGGTCCAGTAGGGGCGGGTCAGAACGCTACAACATCAAACAACAACAACAACACGCACTCCCCTATGGACGGCCCTGGCAGGAGCAATGCGTTCACCAGCTCGATGCCCAATGTGGAGGTCCTGGTGCTTGCTACCGCAGGCCACGGCGAGAGGGCTCCAGCAGAGGGAGAGAGATGAATTCGTGAAGTCGTTTTGCTGATCCTCCACCGCTGAAGGAGCGCAAAACTGTGGGTCAGCTCACTGGACTCGCGGTTCAGAGGTCGCCGATTTCATTCCGTCTCCCAGCGCGGTGGTGAATCTGCCTCTGTCCACCCAGCAGTGTAAATGGGTTCAAGCGCAGAGTCTGCGATGGGCAGGGGTAAGGTGTGGGCACGCCAGCCTCTTCCCAAGACGTCTGGTCGGCGTAGAAGAGTACACCAAATACACCCTCCCTAGAGCTTCCTCGAGTGAACAGCAGGCGTCTTGTTGGTCTGTTTTGTTACGCAGAGCAGTCGTAGTTGACTAGTTGAGTACCTTGACTGGTCTAATTCTAACCGTGTTGTTTGAGACTAATATGCAACGGTATGCGACCCTTGCCTCCTCTACGTCAACCCAGCCTGAGATGAGTGGAGAGAGCAGCTGTGTGAAGGAGGCGCTGTGTCTGTGTTGGCTGGTGCTGCTGCTGCACAGGACGGGAAGCCTCACAACCACGCGTTCGTGCTGAGCCCCGAGGTGGAGTTCTACTGCGATGTAGAGGCCCAGCAACACGGTGCAGTCTTCATCATCATCATCATCATCGATCAATAATCGCCAATCATCAGTCATCATCGATCATTACCCATAATCATCATTGATCCTCAATACGCAATCATCATCGTCGATAATTATAATTGATCATCGACATCATCAATCATCGCCCACCATCAATGAACATGAATCATCACTTTTAAATGTTGTGCATTCACTCTTCAACACACCGGTGGGCTAAAGTAGTGAACTATTTGTCTTTTGTCAACGTGACGCTGTTTTTTACTGATTGGCCGTGTCGGGTGGTGGAGGGTTACGACACATTTATAAATAACGCGATCTCACCCAAAAACCTTTACGAATGAATCATCACTGGCCATCGATCATCGTCATCTTCAATTATCATCATTATCGTCGTCGTCATCGATTGCCATCGGCCAGCTCCGTGCTGCCCTCCTCCCGCTGCCCCCCCGCTGCCCTCTCACAGGGCCGCCGCTCGTCCGTTCGGGGCTGCGAGGGCTCCGCGTGCTGAAGACCACCCAGTCGGGCTTCGCGGGCTTCGCCCGGGAGGGCTTCACGTCACTCGAGGAGACACGCGACCGCTTCTTCTGCACCGAGATGGAGGCCCGCTGGGCCTTCCAGCGCGGCCTCTCGCTCAGCGCCCGCGACTACGACGAGGCCAGGTACCCGCAGACTCGCTCGTTTATTTAATCGCAAAGTCACCCATACACTCATTCACTCACGCGCTCATTCATGCATTCATTCATTTCCCCAAACAACTAATTAATGTACACATTTAATCGCCCATTCTGTCAATAGATCCGTGAATTCATTCAGGCTCACTTATTGATTACCTCTACTGGTGCTGGGCCTCTCCGAGGCCTTAAACGAGTGCTTGGTGCGTAAACATCAGTACTGGGGAGACAAAGGCGGCCGGGCGTGGTGCTGGCCACCCACCCCCTCTCGTGTGCCGTGCCGGCCTTCGTAGGCGCTGCTACTAGTCACTAACAGCTAACAGCACGTGCCCCAACATTCTGTTTGGGGCTCCATGGGGGGGGGGGGGGGGGGGGGGTGGGGTCTGTGTCTCCGTCCGTGCGCAGGGAGCGTGTGCACGCGTGTCTGCTGGAAACCTTCGCCGGCCCCCCGGACACGGGGGTTTACTCCCCATCCGTGCAGCACACCCTCTACCTGGCCGGGCAGTGCGTGCTGCGGAGCCTACCGCACGTACAAGACGCACGTGGGGGGGGGGGGGGGGGGGGGGGGGGAGAACGCACAGGGGCGCGCGTGGGTGCGGCGGTGGCACCACGAAGAAATGAACTGGACAAATGTATTGCCGTGTAACCCTCCACTGCCCGGCACAGTCAGACGAACGAGATTGTCACGGGGTGCACGAGCGTTCCACGACGAGCAGATTGTTGTTTTCGGGCAGTCATTGCGTTTCTCGCAACCTACTTTAGCGCTCAGATGCCAAGTCGCTAACTGTGGCTGTCACGTGGTGGAGGGTTTCACGTAAAAATATGTGGCCAGATCGTCACTACGTGGCCTGACCCAGAAATAAATTAGGAAAATAACGTTGGCTGTGAAAACCCACGTGATGATTTAACTGCGAATTCACGCCTGCATGTGTGCGTGGCTGTAACGCGCGTCAGGTGGAGGACATTCGGATCACCATGTCGAACCTTCACTACACCCCCATCGACCTGAGAAAGCTGGGCCTCAAAAACAATGACCAGGCGAGTCTCACCACCAGGGTCAGAGGTCACCGCCTCTCCCTAGTCCGAGCACTTGGGTGGTGCTCGTGTCCGCCGGCGACCCCGATACAATGGTAGAAATTCTATGTTCCTATGGCAGGGGTCAGATTATCTACAGGCAAGTACCAGTAGACTTCTCACCGAACTAACACCCGTTTTATTCAAATCCTGGTCAGGCTTCCAGCCTATTGTCTGGCTGGTGCTGATAACATGAGTAAAGATATGCGGGAGGTTTAATGTTGTCCCATAGAAAGAATGACCCCTACCATAAATATGGAATTTGCACCACTAGAAGGCTCGAATGCCAAGAGGCCCATGAGCTGTCAATATTATTTTATGCGGAGATCCAAACACTGGTCAATGTATTTCATGATTAAATCTTTGCAGCGCTTTTGTTGTATTAATTTGCGGTCGTCATCACCGTCATATCTTCTGCAGGTGTTTCTGCCTACAAGCAGCCCTGCCGGGCTCATCTCGGCCACGGTTTGTCGACAGTCCACGGCAAAACTCTGAACATCACAGTGAACTGGAAATGAGTCTGCACGCGTCCCCCGCGTGCCAGAAACAGTTACGCCAGCTGGGTTCTCCGAATCTTCTACCAAAGCCTTGCACACTTCGGAAATGACCGAGCTGCTCCCACTGGTCCCATGCTGCCCGACACAAACGGGGCATCGAAGCAACACGTCCCAGCATGTGATAAAGAACTGTGCCGCATCCTTTCTCAAAGCCAGCAGCCATGGCCTGCCTTCCATTTAGCTCTCCCTATAATATTTTCACTCTAGCGCTGTCCTCCAGACAGTCTCGTCCCTTCACCTGATGAAGGCCGCTTGTGTTGTGGCCGAAACGTCGTGAGAATATTATTGTTTTATTTTATTTTATCAATTTATTATTTTATTCTCATTCTACGTGACTTTACCGAAAGAACCAAAGAAGATTCCTCAAGAACTTGTGAGTCTATGAGTAATGTTAGTCTGTGGGCAACGTTAGCCTCATCTCTCTCTGTGCCGTGTCCTTTCTCGAAGACGTTGGCGATCGTGACCTCCTCCATGTAGCTCTGTCCTTGATATTTACTCAACAGGTCTCCTCCAAATTCTGATTTGTGCCTGTATAATTTTATTGGGCTGCATTTTCCAATTAAATGTCGGAAAAATGCTTGTTAATTTTCTGAATGTTAATCTGATATTTTTATCTCTGAAAATGCAATCCCCGATGCTGTGAACCGCCGTGATTCCAGGAGTGTGTGGCACAAATACAAACAACATGATTACATGGCACCAATTTTGGCGGTATCAAAATTATGAGAAAAAAAAGGCTTGACCCAGACGTGATGCTGCTTGGCAATGGCGATCTATTTCGTGTTTGGGCACTTAACGCCTGTATTACAGCCAGAAAGGTACAACCTATTCTTTTTTCACCAATAGGATTATAACCAAACTGGGCAGGGATTGCTGCGGCAGAGGGATGAACGCAGATCATCACCCCTATTGCATCGATAAAATAAGTACCACATTGTGGGAGGTCGATAGTGGTTGTGCTATGGAAGAGACTGGTCCGTCTACACGTTAGGGATGTGAGATTCCCATCACATTGGTCCAAGGGTCACCAACAGAGATGGCCTCCAACCAGAACTCATCCGAGCAGGGACCGGGAGTTGGATGGATTTTGTTGGATTCTTGGACATCTGTGAAAAAGAGCTTCATAGCTCATCAGATTCCTCCTCCACTCTAAATAAAGATTCGGATTCTGTTGACACAGTGATGAACACAACCCAGAACAAGACAAAGAAGTTGGTGGCGAATGGCGGTGCCAGGCTAGGTGCACACACACACACGGTCACCCCATATAAACAAGAATCTCAATCGATAATAACAAAATTAACACTTTTTTTTAAAAGGTAAATTTTCCATTTGTATTCATTTATTTTCACAAATACTTCTATAGCATCGGGGATGAAAGGGAAATGTGTAAACAAAAATCATACAAAACAACAGGGATGCCAAACAACAAGCAGTGGCGTTGTCCCTTGGCAGTGGCACTGTGCTGTTAGCGAGTAGCACCTATGAAGGCCGGCACGGCACACGATGGGGTGGGTGGCCAGCACCACGCCCGGCCGCCTTTGTCTCCAGGTCCTCCCGCACGCACCGCCACACGCCCCCCGCTCGGCACCGGCCCTGCCAACATTAACACTGCCGCGAGTAACAATGCGCGTTCCCACTGCATTTAAGCTACGAGGCGAGTCGCGTACTAACTAGCGCAGACAACTAAAAGAAACATGAGTACGCTTTTGTTTTTTTTGTTTAACACTGAGGAAGGAAGGTACAGTACACGACTCCGAAAACAAGTTTTGTGGCATCGTCGTGTTTTTTTCTCTGCCGTCCTGAGACACGGATACACGATCGCGAGTCCTCTGTCCTCTTTGGTAGGAGTTTGCATCTCTAAATCGGGGTGAGAGCGGCGGTGGCTCTGGAAGCTCGGCCTACGAACCCTCCACCGCCGGGATGACCCGGCTTGCGCGGCGGAAGAGCTGTGGGCTCCGCCACGTTGCCCGGTCCGAGAGACGGTCCGACCGGCCACACGCCGGTGCCGTGTCTCTCTCTCCACCCCCCCCCCCCCGGATTCAAAGGGTTTTGTACAAAAGCGACCATCACGCCGTTGTGACGGTACCACACCGTGCTGACAACTCCCCTGATAAAGTGGAAGATAGTTCGTTGTTGTCATCAGTGCAGCAGGGGCTTGTTGCCGCACTGATGACACATAATAAGGACGAAACCCACGGTTGATTTCGCATCACAGGTCTGATGGTGCAGCGGTTCGCGCAGTGGCAAGTGCACCGTGAACCCGGAGACCTGAGTCCAGTGCTCAGTCCGAGCAGTGGTGACGTATGGTCAAACAACCCTACAGCCGACGTGCCACAGGGAGGCCTTCACCCAGCAGGGGATTGACAAAGGAATGTGGATTGTTACCAGTTGCTATATCACCATGGTGACTAAAGCCGGCTGGCCATTCGTCTCACACAGGCGATGTGGGAAGAGTGATAGGCTCAATGTCTCAAGGTTGCGAGCTCATTTTACCAACTCCAACACGACGACGAGGGTGATGATGATGATGACGACGATGGTGACGAGGATGATTTGACTAAGCAAGCCTGACATTACTCTTTGGTTCTTTCGGTAAGGTCACGTAGTTAGAAATAAAATTTAAAAAAACATTTTTTCTAACTACGTGACTTTACCGAAAGAACCAAAGAGTATGGATTCCTGCAGTCACGAAAGCTTCAAATCAAGACTGACATTGTCCAGGAGCTCTGCTGCCCAGCCAACCGAACCGTGTCCTGGCCATACCACCAACAGAAGATCCTCTCCTATGTACCAAAGATCCAGCGGTCCCGTTTACGTCATATCGACAACCGCACCCAAGTGGTTGCACCGGGCCGGTACACGTTGGAACACCACACCGGACCTTCTCACAACGCCAAACCCATGCACCGGGCCACTCTTCGCAGTCTCTTAGCCTCAAGCAACGCGCACGTTTTATAGCGCAAACGGCAGCGAACGTGGGCTGCCGAGGGACGACAGGGTTCACGCTGGGACCTGTACATTTCTCTGTGCGCCGGTTGCATCCGTGACACGCGAACACTGCGCGGGAGCAGCACAACGCAGGTCGCTGCGTCGCCGACTCGGCGGGCACCGGCCACAGCGGGGCGGTTCCAGCCGGGCCACGATTGCCCAAACGCCGGTGCCACCGCGCGCTGGGGCACAGCGCGACTTACAAAGTAATAAAGTAAAGCGTGACGTTTCCTCGATGAGGTCGCACGAGAGTCGAAGTAACACATTTTCTAACGTGCCCATGTGACGCGAGAAGGCATTAATAAATCATCCATATCACAAAATAATCAATAGCGCTGTTATGCAGAATATAGGTGACGAAATAACCAAGCAGGCAAAATGCATCCCTCGCACGTTTCTGTCCTGCTGCAAATGTTTACACTGCATGTTGAAACCGGTCCAGAATTTGCTCGTATTGGACTTGTGCTGCTAAGTTTAGGCACTCTCAGGCCATGTGGTTGATGGGAAGAGGAAAAAAAAATACTCAAACATTTACGCGGAGGGGCGGAGAGGGGAAGGATGCGTAATGTCTGCGTAATTATTTTATAGCTTTATAGCATTCACTGTGGATATAAGGTACACATGAATTAAAAAGTACCCGGAGAACTCAAAAATGTGAAATACATGTAACTCAATTCCGCAAAGCTGGCCGCTGTGGGCAACAGCCTACTTGCTGTGCTGCCCCCATTACAGACAACACCTGTTTATCAGCAGCTCGATACGTCACATGGCTTAGCTCCCGTTGCAATCCACCAACCCTGCCCTGCTGGTACGTGCACCATCTCGTCAAGAATACGAAACGGGTTAAGCTTTCCATCGATGCAGAAGCCAAACCATCACCTCTAACAATATCAACAGCAAAATAAATTACCGTATTAAATGAACTTCAGTAAAACTGTTGTAACTTTGCATTCGTATACAAGTGGAAATTAATTGTTTAAAATATATAAACGCATCAAATAAACGACGGTTTATATTGTTTTAAAGCAAGTTCTTTCCTTCTTCGTGTCAATGACGATGACCGACTCTGCAGCTCCCGATGGGGTGACACCGAGACTCGAGTGCCGACGAACGTCCCCCCCAGTGGCCCTGGCGGTGGCTTCCGGCACGCGGCTCGCAAAGCGTCACGGCAACCAGCGACCGCGGCTTGGCCGCAGCCCACAGCGTTACGGCCCCCGGCGACCCCGCCTGCAGCCCACAGCGTCGACTGGAGACAAACGGTGCCTTGAGGCGGTCGAGACTTCCCTTGGGTTGACTCGGCCTCAACGGAGGAGCTGGCGCGGGCCGGGTGACATAGGGCGCCGGCGGTGCGGTCGTCTTCCCACGCCGGCGTGCACGCTACGCCGGCGTGCACGCTACGCCGGCGTGCACGCTACGCCGGCCCCAACGGGCGCCAGCCAACAGCCCCTGCCTGCCGCAGCGGTCTACGCGGACCACCGTGGGCTCTTTGTGCGCGGGTGCGCAATGGAACACGTCATATGTATTACATACATATTTATAACTGTGTTACAGTAATGCTACAGATGCATAAATAACATCCGTATTTGCATATCTTTGTATGTATACACACACACACGCATGCATACACACAGCTTCTGTTACAAGTCCGAATTGTTACACGTCTTCTGGGCTCGTGTATATATTCACACGATGACAGACACACACAGAAACCGCACGTGTGCCTTATCTGTGTATACGCAGTGCTGAGGGGGAGGGCACGCGGAGACCGGAGACTCCACACGTGGTGGGTGCGTGAAGCTCCATCGCCCCCTTGGGGCAATAAAACGATCGGAACCACTGAGTGGGAAGCCAACCGTGGTTGTCTCGTGGAGGGCAGGGACCCTGCCATGGGACCGAGGCGTTTGGGCGCTAAGGGTTTGAGTTTTATTTACAGGGACGCAAGACCACAGATGGTCAGTGGAGTTTCATGATTTACGAGGACAGCAGCCGATTGCCTTTGTTGGCTAAGTTGACCTCAGCGTTGGGCGACGCCACCGATGTCAGAGCGCAACGCCCAGAGACCCCGCTCCAGGAACCAGCATTAGGTTCCTTCTTACGCAAAATAAAACAAAGTGGTTTAGTGCAACCGCTTAGACCAAGGCATTTAAAACAATAAACCTCCTACCGCTGCTCATTGCTGAGAGAACCTGACTGCACGCAAGCGAGCGAGTGAGCGAGCGAGCGAGCGAGTGACCGAGTGAGCGAGCGGTTTTAGTGAAATCGGTGAACCTCGCTATTCTGCTCGGCGCGACTGGGGGTTCCGCGGCGCGTTTACTCGGCACCGCCCTCCACGCCGTTGGGGGTTTTGCCGGTGCCTTCGTCGCTGCCCTGGGGCGAGGGGAGGGACGAGGGGAGGGGCTCGGGGCCCAGCTCAAGCCCCTCCACCCCCCGCCCGTTGCGCGCCGCCTCGGCCGCCGCCTCGCGATCCACCATGCGGTAGTTGATGGCGTTGGCGATGAAGAGGTAGATGCCGGCCGTGATGACGATGGCGCCGCACACGAAGTACATGTACTTGTAGTCGCCCGTCACGTCCACCAGCCAGCCTGCGACGTTGGGCGTGGGGGCGGGGGGGGTAGCGGCGATGCCGTTAGTGTGGGCTCACCTAGTTACCGAATCGTTATCGTGGTATAATCATCATTATCAACCCCGCTGAGATTTCCTGCCACGAGCTCTGTATATAAATCTAGATAAGATAAACCCTCTTGACGTCCCCACTGACGAAATCCCGAACGGACGGCTCTCCGCTTCTCGCCCGGGCTCTCCGCTCCCGCCAATGAGGAGCATCTCCCCCTCCTCTCTAGGGGTGCTCGTTAACTTTTTGTCCAGAGTGGTTCCTCCTCAAGAGTCTCCCTTTATTCTCAGGTTGCTTGCCCTTCGTCTGGGAGGGTGGGGGGGGGCTATCGCTTTTGGTCCTGGCCCCCTACTCCTTAGCTGGTTGAGCGCTGCTCGCTGTCACTACTCGTGTCAGATTCCAACTCCATTCAAGAGGAGATGCAGTCCACCCAGACCCGGGACAACTGTTTCCAGACAAGAGCATCCATGCGCGCATGTGTAGTGGTGTTACGGGACAAACACACATTAGTTACAGCTGTTATGGTGTTACGGGACAAACAGACATCGGTTACAGCTGTTATGGTGTTACAGGACAAACACACATCAGTTACAGCTGTTATGGTGTTACAGGACAAACACACATCAGTTACAGCTGTTATGGTGTTACAGGACAAACACACATCAGTTACAGCTGTTATGGTGTTACAGGACAAACACACATCAGTTACAGCTGTTATGGTGTTACGGGACAAACACACATCAGTTACAGCTGTTATGGTGTTACAGGACAAACACACATCAGTTACAGCTGTTATGGTGTTAGGGGACAAACACACATCAGTTACAGCTGTTATGGTGTTACAGGACAAACACACATCAGTTACAGCTGTTATGGTGTTATAGGACAAACACACATCAGTTACAGCTGTTATGGTGTTACAGGACAAACACACATCAGTTACAGCTGTTATGGTGTTACGGGACAAACACACATCAGTTACAGCTGTTATGGTGTTACGGGACAAAGCCACATCAGTTACAGCTGTTATGGTGTTACGGGACAAACGCACATCAGTTACAGCTGTTATGGTGTTACAGGACAAACACACATCAGTTACAGCTGTTATGGTGTTACGGGACAAACACACATCAGTTACAGCTGTTATGGTGTTACAGGACAAGCACACATCAGTTACAGCTGTTATGGTGTTAGGGGACGAACACACATCAGTTACAGCTGTTATGGTGTTACAGGACAAACACACATCAGTTACAGCTGTTATGGTGTTACGGGACAAACACACATCAGTTACAGCTGTTATGGTGTTACAGGACAAACACACATCAGTTACAGCTGTTATGGTGTTATAGGACAAACACACATCAGTTACAGCTGTTATGGTGTTACGGGACAAACACACATCAGTTACAGCTGTTATGGTGTTACGGGACAAAGCCACATCAGTTACAGCTGTTATGGTGTTACGGGACAAACGCACATCAGTTACAGCTGTTATGGTGTTACAGGACAAACACACATCAGTTACAGCTGTTATGGTGTTACGGGACAAACACACATCAGTTACAGCTGTTATGGTGTTACAGGACAAACACACATCAGTTACAGCTGTTATGGTGTTAGGGGACGAACACACATCAGTTACAGCTGTTATGGTGTTACAGGACAAACACACATCAGTTACAGTTGTTATGGTGTTACGGGACAAACACACATCAGTTACAGCTGTTATGGTGTTACGGGACAAACACAATCAGTTACAGTTGTTATGGTGTTACGGGACAAACACACATCAGTTACAGCTGTTATGGTGTTACGCGACGAACACACATCCGTTACAGCTGTTATGGTGTTACGGGACAAACACACATCAGTTGCAGCTGTTATGGTGTTACGGGACAAACACAATCAGTTACAGTTGTTATGGTGTTACGGGACAAACACACATCAGTTACAGCTGTTATGGTGTTACGGGACGAACACACATCAGTTACAGCTGTTATGGTGTTACGGGACAAACACACATCAGTTACAGCTGTTATGGTGTTACGGGACGAACACACATCAGTTACAGTTGTTATGGTGTTACGGGACGAACACACATCAGTTACAGCTGTTATGGTGTTACGGGACGAACACACATCAGTTACAGTTGTTATGGTGTTACGGGACAAACACAATCAGTTACAGTTGTTGTGGTGTTACGGGACAAACACACATCAGTTACAGCTGTTATGGTGTTACGGGACAAACACACATCAGTTACAGCTGTTATGGTGTTACGGGACAAACACACATCAGTTACAGCTGTTATGGTGTTACGGGACAAACACACATCAGTTACAGCTGTTATGGTGTTACGGGACGAACACACATCAGTTACAGCTGTTATGGTGTTACGGGACGAACACACATCAGTTACAGCTGTTATGGTGTTACGGGACAAACACACATCAGTTACAGCTGTTATGGTGTTACGGGACAAACACACATCAGTTACAGCTGTTATGGTGTTACGGGACAAACACACATCAGTTACAGCTAGCACCCTGGGCTTACCCAAAGAGGGCTGTGGGCTTTGGATCCCCCGCGCCCCTCCCAATGGGTGGGGGCTGCGGGGTGTGCTGTGATCCCTCAGAACCCCGCCCCTCGGTGGGGAATTGGTATAAAAGACGGGGAGCCAGAGATATAGGAGAGTTTTGATTTAAAGCTTTCATGACTGCAGGGATTCATATTCTTGGTTCTTTCGGTAAAGTCACGTAGAAGGGAAACAATAAAATAATAAAAATATAAAACAATAAATTATCACGACATTTCGACTGCAACACAAGCAATCATCATCAGGTGTGAAAACCAAAGCAAGAATATTTGAAAAAAGTGGCGTTTTTTTACATTAGCACCATGGAGAGCGATTTGGCAGTTATTCAGATGGACGAGTCCATCTATGTTCGGAAAAGAGGAGGAGAGAGACAATAATGTATGCGGTCTGAAAGCCACCGTAAGCGTGAACAATCAATTAAAACCCGAAATGGTTTATCAAATCCTTCCAATGATTGCTAAGCCAGAATCCATCTTCTCGGTTGAAATTGTCTCTGTGTTTGTATATGTGGATAGCCTCATGAACGAATCTCTCATGGTAGCCAGATGGCTTGCAAAGAACCTCTGTCTTGGAGAAGTCAATATCATGTGAGCCTACTGAATTATAACAGTGATCTGCCATGGCCGAGGTGTTGGTCCTACCGTGTTTAGGTCTGCTTTGTGTTCACGAATGCGGTCCGAGACATCTCATTTGGTTTATCCAATGTAACTACTACCACAGAGGCAACTTAGTTTGTAGACGCCAGGGTACTGTATGTCCGGAATCACATCTTTTACAGACGGAACCAGATCATGGATTTTATGTAATGTGTTGAATAGGATCTGGATCTTGTGTTTATTCAAGATTTTGGAGATCTTTTTTGTGATCCCCGCAATGTAGGGTAAAGTGATAGTTTTGAAAGGCTCTTCAAGAGGGTCCTTCTTCATGGTTGGAGTGATAGCTTTGCGGATTGTGTAGTCGGAGTAACCATTAGCCTTAAGAGCTTGGTGTACGTGCTTGAGTTCACTGGCTATGTGTTCCTGGTCGGATATGCATTGGGCACTATGGTACAGAGTCTTGATGAGGGAATTCTTCTGGGATGGATGGTGGTGGGAATCCGGTTTCAGGTAAGCATCCGTATGTGTAGCTTTCCTATGGACAGAGTGGCTCATTGAACCATCAGGTCTCTTTTTTATTAGGACATCCAAAAAAGGTAGCTTGCCATCTTTTTCGACTTCCATGGTAAATCTGATGGCTGGGTGTATGGAATTGATGTGGTCGAGGAATTGGTCTAGAGCAGGCCGGCCATGTGGCCAGATGACAAAAGTGTCATCCACGTACCTCTTCCATAAGGTTGGGCGCAGAGTGGCAGTCTGGATGGCGTCAGTCTCAAATTTCTACATGAAAATGTTGGCTACAACTGGAGATAGGGGGGAGCCCATTGGGGTACCCTCAGTTTGTTTGTAGAAAGTTCTATTCGAAGTGAACTATGTATTGGTTAAGCAGTGTCTCACCAGGGGGGGTACCTCAGTGTTTAGTCCTTGATGAACCAAGTATTCAATGATTGCGATGGTGTCAGGTACAGGAACTTTGGTGAATAAGGAAACTACATCAAAACTGACAAGCAGGTCGTCTGGGGACAGGGAAATACCCGTGATTGTCGATACCAGGCGAGTTGAATTTTGTACCGCAGGGGTGGTTTTTCCTGTGAAAGGCCGCAGGATTTCAGACAGAAAACGAGCCAGTTTGTAGGTGGGGGAGTTGATAGTAGAGACGATGGGACGACGGGGTGTATTTACTTTATGTATTTCTGGTAAGCTGTATAATCTTGGTGGCCTGGCAGCAGAAGGTTTCAACGAGAACTGTTTGGTTTGATCAATTAATGCGGTTGAATCAGAAATAATTTTGTTGGTTTGTATGGCGAGGCTGTTGGTGGGATTTTATTGTTTTATATTTTTATTATTTTATTGTTTCCCTTCTACGTGACTTTACCGAAAGAATCAAGAATATAGATAGGAGAGTGTTCGCGAGCCGAAGTCCGAAGAACCAATTGAAGACTGAAGACCGGCTAAATAAACCCTGGAACTCCTCTGACCCGCTGTCCTTCTCAGGGCCGGGCAGAGCAAGCCAGCGGTGTGACTCCAGGGCCTACGAGCCGATGTCCTTCTAAGGGCCGGGTCTGTGTGGCTGGTGGTCGGACCTGAGCCTTGGCTGGGCCAGGTCAGTTAGCCTTCCCTAGAGCCCTTTGCGGAGGACCCGGGAGCGTAGGTAGATAGGCAGACAGCCTAGGGGTGTATCCCAGTGTAGTACGGGTGAAGGGACCGTTACCCCTTCCAAGTGTTGTATACCTTGCCCTGTTCCAAGTGTTAAGTTACAATGAATAGTGCTGCCTCCACTTCGCCGTCTCTGTCGCTTGGGAACCCACTACACATGCGTGAACGTGTGTGCATGTGTGCACGTGTGTGCGTGCGTGTGTGCACCTGGGAGTAGGAAGGGGCACTGTTTGTATGTATGCTGAACTTTTCAGACCGTACGTACCCAACCGTTCTAATCGGAGATGCGGGAGAAAGAGAACAAACTAAACACAATAAGTGTGTGCGCGCGTGTTTGAGTGTGCGTGCGTGTGCGTGAGCAAGGGGGAGCGAGGGGGCACCTCCGATAGGCGGACCGAGCAGCACGGGGCAGCACTCGACGATGGTGACGAGGCCCACGGCGCTGGAGAAGCGCTGCGCCCCCACCAGGTCCATGAGCGTCTCGAAGAGCACGGAGCTCACCATGCCGAATGCCATGCCAAAGAACACCGAGTACGCCACCAGGCCGCCGTAGTCGCTCGCCAGCGGGCACAGCATGTGGCACACGCCGTTGAAGATCACCGCGAAGCTGAAAAAGTACTGGATCTGCGGGTGTGAAGCGTGGGGGGGGGGGGCGTGGGGGGAACAGGTTTGTGGGGGGGGGGGGGGGGGCGGGGGCGTCCGCAAACAGTTGTGACGGTCGTAGAGTTGGCGGCTTATTGTACAATGCACACGCACAGCCCGGCTCCCTGGGACCGTAGCGCTGTGCGAGCCACGTGTCTCGCGCCCCCTATGCGCGGGCGTCTGCAACGCGGGCGTTGGCATGCGTACCATGCCTCGCGCTGGGTCCCCCGTCCTAACACTGTGGAATTTCCACCGCTGGCTCCTGTCAGCGGGTTGTAGAATAACAACTCCCGACGCTCACTTGAGTCGTTGTCATTATCAGCCGTGGTCAATCCACTGCTGGATGAGGGCCTCCCCACACCGCGTGGGTCGTGGGTGTATTTTGGCTATACTTCACCACAATGATCAGTGTAGATGTGTGAAGGTGGGGAGCACAGATGTTGAGGCATAGCACAGTATAATTTTTACATAAAATTTCGTCAGTAATTTTCTCTCGACCTTTGAACTGCAAGCACAGAGTGCGTGAGGATGGCCGGCCAGACTCACGGAGTCGAGTCGAATTGAGACCAACTCGGGTTGAGACCAACTCGAGAGCCCTCCACTCGACTCAAACCACCTCGCGTTTGCTTCTCGCTCGCCCGTGTGCCCGCGTGCCCGCGTGCCCGCGTGCCCTCACCCTTGGCCGAATCCAGCGCGAGTTGGCAATGAGGCCACAGGTGGGGCGGCACACCATGTCCACGATGGCCAGGATGGTGAGCAGGAAGGCGGCCGAGTACTTCTCGATGCCCATGTGGCGAGCGTACGGCGCCAGGAACACGATGGGCGAGAAGAACCCGAGGAACATGACGACGTTTCCCGAGAGGTAGATGAGGAAGCCGCGGTGCTTGAAGAGCGTCAGGTCGAGCAGCTCCTTGAAGCGCTGCAGGAATCCCTCCTTGGGTGACGCAAAAAGGATCATAGCCACGCGCATGAGCCAACGAGATCGCGCCCCCCATTATCCGATCTGCAGATCCCTCCGTGGCCTCCCTATCCAACCCAGGATCAATCGCAACACTGCTCGTCAATGTTCGCTATGAACACCTGACGGTGTTGCGTCCGAGTCAATTTTTGACACTTCAGATTGCAGGATCCACGATATGGTCGCCCCTTCTAAATTCTGGTCGATGTATTTTTTGCTGTATTCTAACAAGAAACGATTCGACGCACGCACTATCATGAGGATTGATTTTAACCGGTGAATTAATTGGCTACTCTTTGGTTCTTTCGGTAAAGTCACGTTAGAAAGAAAATAAATTATATAATAGAATACGACGTTTCGATTGAAACACAAGCAGTCGTCATCAGGTAGAATTCAATTTGAGAATTTGTTTTTGTTTTCTCAAACGGCCTATTTCTCTCTCCAAAATTTACCAGGCTCGATTAGGTCCATTCGCTCTTTCTCTCCCCCGGCCGCTTCTGGGTGGATTTCCACACAACTCTCTCATTGACATGCTAATTTCTCTGCTCCAGCAGACCCACCTCTCTCTCTGCCCCCCCCCTCTCTCTCTCTATTTAAGGCCAGGACACAGAGGCATTGGGTTTCTGTGTGTCTATGTTGTGTGTCTCTCTCTGTGTGTCTCTTTGCTGTCTCTATCTGCTTGTGTGTCTGTCTGTGTGTCTCCGTGTCTGTGTTTTGTCTCTCTCTCAAATTTAGTTCTACCTGATGACGACTGCTTGTGTTGCAATCGAAACGTCGTATTCTATTATTTAATTTATTGTCTTTCTACGTGACTTTACCGAAAGAACCAAAGAGTAATTCCTGCAGTCACAAAAGCTTCAAATCAACTGAGATGGCTTTAAATGGTAGGGCACAGGTGAAGGGGAGAGGCCGGCGGGAGCAGGGAAAACAGGGAAAACAAACGCACGGCCGGAGCACGGGTGGCACGAGACATCACCTTGGGCTTTGCCGGCTGTCCGGACAGCAGGCTCACGGCCTGCGGGTTCGCCGTGTCAGCGGGCACGGGCGGCGGCGGCGGAGTCGTGGCGTTCTCCGTGGCCACTTCCGTCGCAGACTCCGTCGCGGTCAGGGCCGCCGGCGCGGATGGCGGCGGCTTCACGGGGCGCATGAGGGCGCCGGCCACGCAGCAGTTGAGCAGCAGTCCCCCCAGGATCATGAAGCTGCCCCTCCAGCCGAAGTTGTTGAGCAGCAACTGGTTGAGGGGCGCGAGGGTGCTGAGCATCACGGGGCTCCCGGCCATCGCCAGTCCGTTGGCGATCGGCCGCTTCTTGTAGAAGTACTTGCCGATGATGGTGAGCGCTGGCTGCAGGTTCATGGCGAGGCCGAAGCCTGCACTCGCGTGCACGCAAAAGGACGACGATCACCACAGCAACAACGGCCGGAGAATCAGATGTGACTGCGAGACTCTGGGGGCTAATACCAACGCTCATTTAAGGCTGAGTCAATCTAGTGAGGATGCCCAGGACTGGTAGATAAAACTCACCACTGACTCGTAGCGCAATGAGCTGACCACACATGCACCTCAATCACATACACAAAGATCCCCCATATTGCCTTAACAGAGTGTTGGGGCAAGTGCAGTTGGTGAACACCTATGAGGGCCGGCACAGCACACGCGGGGTTGAGTGACCAGTATCACGCTCGCCCGCCTTTGTCTCCCCAGTGGTTATGTTTAGACACCGCACCAGGTACTCATTTGAGGCCGACTCGCATTAAGGGAGGCCCAGTACTGCTTAATATAATCATCACTGGTGTTCGCAGTGAACCAGGAATCGAACTCGGGTCTCTGGGTTCGTAGCGCAGCACGCTAACCGTTACACTACTGCTCCCCATACACACGCAGATGCACACATGGACCTCAGGCGCATACACACAGATACATACCCACCCATACCAGTGTCAACAACATTGACGTTAAAAGGTTACGTGACTTGAAGGTGCATAAAACACCAAAATATGATTCCCCATTTGGTACGTGCAAAAGTGACATAACCCGGCAATTTGATACATTTTATGGAAAACTTTGTTTCAAATGTAAATGCCAATATATTCATAGTATTTTATAATTCCGCTGCTGGATGAAGGCCGCATCCCATGCTGTGTTGGTCAAAGGCGATGCGTGACCATGATTTGTCACTCTGGACAGCACGGGCTGGTGAAGTGAGAGCCAGAACCAGTTTAAATATAATTCGCCACTGATGTTGACCGTGGCGCTGCGCCCACCCCCGACACACATTAAGGCTCCATGTTTCACGGAGTAGGTGACTGCTGCTGCCTGGATTAGTATGCATGGCTGCCTCTCTCCCCACAGAAACGCGAGCCACTGACACCATCCCTTCCCACGTCTCCAGCACCACTCACGACTGTGAAGAGCACAGCGATCACGACGCGCGGTTAAGCAGAACGTGCGACGCAATGCTAATCTGATTATGGCGCCGCGCTGCTCTTCGTGTGTGTGTGTGTCTCGGTAGGATGTTACAGGGAAGTGTTCGGGTCGACGTTCAGAAGTCAAATGGGGTTTAATGCAAATTGACTCTGTGTGCAGAGTCAAATCCTGGGGTTCATTTGCAAACTAAAATTTGATTGTAACGGATACCAAAAAGCCCCCACACTGCGAACCGATCCGGGGAGCTGGATACGCCGTTGTGTCCTTGGTTATCCCCCTCGGCACGGCGGCCGTCTCTAGCCCTGACCCCCCGTGACCCCCGTGTGGGGGCTCCTCGCCCAGCCCACTCACCCCCGATGACCCCGATGCAGAAGTAGAGCTGTAGGATGGAGGTGCAGAACGAGGCGAGCACCATGCCAGTGCCAGCCAGCACGCCGCCCGCCACCACCACAGGCCGGCTGCCATAGCGGTTCACCAGAATGCTGCTCACCGGGCCTACGGTGCCACGCACGCACGCACGCACGTCACCCCGTCAGCCCGCGATCAACCACAGCCGGCGCTCGGAGCGCCAGCTTTGAACAGTAATCGTAGGCCGATTCCGGATGACAGCGTTCGAGGTATTAGAAGTAACGTCTCGTTTGGCTTTCATGGCTCAAGCGTAAAGTCAAAATGTCTCCCTCCTCCAGCGAGTGATTGGACACTGGTACTGGGAACGAAACTCGGGGCCTTCCTGTCGAGAGTCGAGCCCCCCGCTCGATTTGAGTGGCGCCTGCCCCTGTAGACTCCGCGCATGTCAGCAAGCAGAGCCCCCGGGTGAAGCAGTGTCGCCGGGGCCTCCCGCACCGCGCACTCACCACCCGCGTACATGATGGCCAGCATGATGGAGGAGATCCACGCGATCTCGCTGTATGTCGTCTGGAAGATCTCCTGGATCTCGCTGAAGAAGACGGTGATCGCCTTGGGGAAGGCGTACGAGAAGCCGATGGAGATGAAGGCTCCCACGACCACGGCCCAGCCCCAGCCCCCGTCCGGCGGGGGGCACGCCTGGCCGGCGGTCGCCAAAGGCGACATGGCGGCACGATCGCCCGCGTGGAGCCGCGCCGTTCGAATTCCCTGCGGAGTGCAAAAACCCGTGGAGCGCGTGAACAAATGTGCGGGAACCCTGTCCTTAGGGCGTCCCCCACGGCATCCCCAGTGCCCGCGTGAGACACACCTAAAATCCCAGCTGTGAGAATTTAAAATATCAGATGGTAACGGTCACGTGAGGATCATTGCTCTGGGTGGTAAAGCAGATGGGAAAGTGCTGCCCTCTACTCTGTGTGGAACATAGGCCACTTGAAAAGATCTGAGAATTAGACTGCGATATCCGCTTCTGCGGGGCATTTTCTAACACGAAGGGTCGCACCACTCGGCAAAATGAATGATTCACATCACAACACTGGAGCTCTCACCTCTACACTGAAACTTTACCCTGGTACGTATTTTCTCCGGGATAATGGCGATGCCCGTTCACAGAGGCAATAACACAAGATTGTCGAGGTTAATTTACAATTGCTCCATGAGAGTTCAAGTGCCACACTGTCTCGGATTGATGGTGCTTAGGTACCGGTACAGCTCTTTTGTAAATCCACTGCTCGCTGGTAGAGGGTGACCGGGCACTGGAACAAATGTTTTGCCGGCTTTTACCTTCACACCCTATAATGCAAGCCCCTTCACAGTCCCTGGTTCCTGGCTTGATGCTGCGCAGTCTCCCTCTCGACCCATGCAGCCTCGTACCAACGCCAGGACAGCACTGCAACGGCTCGAGTCTCTCCGACGCTCGCTCGCTCGCTCGCGCCAAGGCTGATGCCCGGCGCCGGAGCCACAGAGCCAGCACCACCAAGATCTGAACTTCAATTTCCGAACGGCCATCTCGAACGACATCGATCCGGGTTCTCAAGCGCAGAGAGTTGGACGGTTTCAGCGCGGTCTCAATAGCACAAAAGTCAAGGTCAAAAACCAACGACTTTCCCCTCCACGGGCTCCCAACACCTCTCCAGGACCGTCGCGTGCTCCCGATTGTACGCACGTGTGCGAAAACGCGGCAGAGCCGTGCCCATCTCCATTGCTGACCCCAAGTCCGCGATGACAATTATACATTCAAAAGGACATCCACTGTTGGCTCATTTCAACGACGATAGGATAGGCCCAGTTGGCCCCCCGTCAGGAGCTCACAACGTTCCAACTCCGTGGAACGCCCAGCCCGCGTGCTCTCAGCGCGCCCCCTGGCACTGTGCCGACAGAACTTGGTCGATAGCACGGTGCCCCGACCCGCAGCGGTGCTGCCAAAGGCGTTATGCAGTACGTGAGCTCGTCTTTGCTCAGCGTTTGCGTGAAAGGCCAATACCGATTACACTGAATGAGCTTTTAGCTATTGGAGGAAACCGGAGAAGCCAGAGAAAACCCACGCATGAGAGGGAAAGAATATACAAACCAGACACAGGTACCCAAGTCGACAATTGAACCCAGGCCCTTCTTGCTGTGAGGCACTAGTGTTAACCACTGTGCCACTCTGCACCACACACGGAACTGAAGCGCCCAAAAACTCCAATGCATGCAGGATCCTGCTGAAAATAGTCTTCGGACTCAGTGAGGCTTCCCTGGGCACATCAAGGAAATTAATTTATTATTATTATGATTATTAGCCTGATGTGACCTAAGAAGACTATGCGGCTGTGTGGTGTGCAGTTACATGGAGCCGACTGCAATTACACAATTCTAAAAATATTTCTCCTAAGCAATGTTGCCGACATGGGGGGGGGGGGGGGGGGGGAAGCTCAGTGGAAGCACTTGTGACCCCACAGCCAGGACCGCCTAGGTTCGATTCCTGACACGGGCACCTCTCATTGCAGAGTTTTACCTTCCCCCCCCCCCCCCCCCCACAATTCTGCATGGGTCTCCTCCGGGTGCAAGTGGTGTTGGCCAAATCATCCCAATGCCGAACTACAATGTGCAAACCACTCTTCGAGCAACATCGCCTCTTGCTGCAACAGCTTGGCAGGGCCCTCGTGATGAAGATCCCCGAGACCCGCCAGTTCGGCTTCCCTGGGTGGAGAAGCCGAATAGTAACCGTATGGTGGCGAGGATGGAGCTGTGTCACGAGCACACGGCAACCTCGGAGCGGAGCTCGAAGTCATTCTCGCCGATTGGCAATCCGTCAGTTGATGAGGCTACAGGACAAATCCATTACTCATCCATGCACTGGCGACGCTACAATCTCTCTTGTAAGATTATGCTCGTCTCTACAAGTGAAATGTCAATGCGTATTCTGGCAAATTAACAATCCTCGTGACATCTATTCATTGGACTCATCAATTTAAATAATCAATATCCAGACTGGTCCCCGACATAGGACTGTGGAATTTCCACCGGATGTTCAGGGATGCAAAACTGAGATGAGCACTGCTCTAAGCTTGAGTCGGATGCTTCTGACTTTTTGACCTTGTAATATAAACAAGTAAAAGTGTCTCTCTGCTCACATAACCGGGTGGTATTCAACTCCACATTTCCATGGGAGAGACCAGTTTATGCCAAGGGCAACCACTGTGGATGTGGAGTGATGTGTTAGTGATTTTATTGTGATCCTTGGTGGGTGATGGACGGAGTAAACCCCAAACAGCAGGCGAGTACTGGTGAGGCTACGTCAACGGTGCAAGAGTACCAAGGTGAAATCTCTACCCGGCTAGGCCTCACTCGGCGCCCACGGCTATATATTCCAGCAGGGTTTGGCTATGGAAAGTTTGGGAGGGCAGCCAGGGAAAACTCCGCACGTTCTGGAGAGAGCCCACAAACTCCACCGTATGGACAGGCGAGCGAACCTACCGACCCACCGGCACGCACCTACAGGTGGGTGGGAATTTAAAGCGTACGACCCATTGGGGCATCACTATTCTCCCTCAGCCATGCTCTTATCACTTGTTGGATGAAGACCTCCACACGCCGCAATCCCTCACACTCCTGTGATGCGACAATCCACCCAGCACCAGCATATCAGCCGCTTCCTTTTGGGCGCGTTTTCATCTTTGGCTGCCGTTCCATCTGAAGTCATCCAATGGCAAAGTCCACTTACTCTGGTCAAATAACCCCCGTGACCCGCACGGCGTGGCTGGGCCCTCATCCAGCGAAGGATTGAGCCGCACGGTGACTCTCTGTGGATAACGGCAGAGTGGCCGTGCCACGGCGCTGTGGTCGGAGCACTCGACTCGCAAGCTTTAACGGCCCGAGTTCACATCCCGGTTGGGAGATAGGTGAGGTCATCGTCTCTCTGGGGTGGCAGATGGGGGGCAATAAAATTAGTGGTGCCTCACGGGAAGTCAACAGTGGTTGTCCGATAGATAAACTGGCTCCGATATAGAAACATGGAATTTCGGCGCTTTTTCTCTCGTCAAGAGACAATGCGTTATCAGTGGACAGGCTAAAATAAGGAAGATCGATCCATCTGGCATACTCGATTGTTGACTGTTCGAAGAGCTGGTCACCGTCTCGAGCAATTTTGTTTATCGGCTAAGGAGGGGAAGTGTTGTTACCGGTTGGCGCGTGAGCCTGAGAGGGGCCGGATTTACACCCCGTGGCACCGCGTGGCATCGCGCGGCAACGCACGGCACCACGCGGTGCCGCTGCTCACTTTACACGTGGCCAGCGCCCAGGCTGGGTTTCAGTCTTGACCTCAAATCGCCTTCCCGAGGGCAGCAGACATTAGCACTGGTGAAATGGGCTCAGGCCCTTATAGTGAAATGGGCTCAGGTCCTTATAGAGGAATACTGTAGACTTTAAACAAACTATTAAAATATTGTCGACGTATTTGTGTATACATACGGTTGTGGAAATGTTCCGGTACGTCACGCAGGCACCTCTCCCGACACCAAACACGTGCCTAACGGGCACTTGAGAAGAAGAACGGTTCCTATTCCTACGCTGCCATGTTTTCATAGAGGGGAAACAAGGTGTGTGTGTGTGTGTTTAGTGCGAGGGTGTGAAAGTCAACTCGAGTTCGATTCCTGCTCACGGCCAACACCAGTGATGATTATCTGAACCAGTCTGGACCGCCCGTAACTTGAGTACCTGGTGCAATGTGTAAACTGCCACTAGGGAGACAAAGGCAGCCGGATGTGATGCTGGCCACCCACTCCCTCGTGTGCCATGCAGGCCTAAATTGGTGCACGCAAACAGCACTAGCCCCAACAGTCTCAGGTTGTAATAGGGATCTTTGTATGTGTGTATACCTATCGTCACGTTTGCGGTGCGTCAATCAATACCCTGGACAACCACTGCAAGCGAGATGCTCCCTCTCAAATAAACAAGTGAAGAGTGTTCCGCCTGCTACACCTTTGTCGATTTTGGGAGCCTTCCCAGAATAGCCGTCGGAAGACAGCCGACGGCAGCCCACGGTGTTATCATTCTCAAAGAATTTCAGGTTAATGAAATAAAAAATAAATCCAGGTTACACGCAGCCCAGGCTCTGGAAACTGCAGTAGCAGCATAACGTTGATAAAGTACACAATTGCGGCATGTACCACACAACTCGCACTACAAACATTGCTAAAGCCGCGCCAACCCACTTTGCTGTAACTTTACAGAAAGTAACACTAGTTTATGTTGACAGTTACCGAAGACTTACATATACAAATACATGTAGCCGCGTAATTTGTGAAGGCAATGGCTGCGAATGAAACACTTAACAAGGCCAGCGCAAGAGCGTGATGGGCAGCGGTGGCTATTGAAGCCAAACTTTCATGCTTATGCCGATGCTCCCACATGGCACCAGGTACTCAATTTATGCTGAGGCTGCCGAGGGGAGGCCCTGGATGGATTCCGACACCACTTGCCACCGATGTTGACCGGGAATAAATCCTAAGTAGCTGGCATCATGGCGCAGCGTGCACCGTTGCTTCACCACTCTCCACTTCTCACACGCATGAGCACGGTGACGTCGCCGTAGCACTTGTGCCAGGCTAGGTACACAATAAGGCCGCCACGTGATGTGTGGAAGGCCCACAGGCAGCAGGTTATGGATGGGACAGACCTCGGCATTATGGGCTGACTGAGATAACTGGCAGATGCACACACACGCTATA